GGTGCAGAGTTCGCCCAGCAACAAACTCAGTGCCATTGCCACCCGGCCAGAGGCTCAGGAGCTTAAGCATCGGTGCATTTTGTGCGGTTTTTGGACCCCGGACCATACCAAGATGAAGAATCATCAACGACAGGCCCATGCACAAGCATGGCAGCGAGATGGTCCGGCAGCACTTCAGCTTTGCAAGGCCTATTCTGTGCAGATGATAAAGGGGCACCCCTGCCCCTTTTGCAGGCTGCCGGTCTATGACAAACGCAAACACCCTGAGCAATGCATTGTCCTGTTTCAGGTTCTGCTTGGGTGGCACAAGGTGCAAGGCACGGACAAGATGCGGGAACAATGTTCCAAGCCTCATCCCAAGACCGCGGTGACAATGTCACTTAGTGGCTTTTTTGGGGCTGCAGACAAGCCAGCTACCGCGGCTGCATCACCCACTGTTGCCATGGCAACGACGGGCGCCGTCGGCAGCACTCTCCCGCCAGGCCTGTATTCTCGTATGCGACACATGGTGAACTCGGGTAACACCTGCTATGTCAATGCGACCATTCAGGCCCTACTAGCCGCGCTAGACTCTGCGTCCAATGTAGCGGAACTGGGACCACTGGTCCAACACTGCATCAACCCGGAAGCGGATCCAATGGATACGAGGCACATAAACCCTCCAAGCCTATTCGCTCTCCGGTCCTTAGTGCCTAGATGGCGATTCGATGGCCGTCAACAAGACGCCTCCGAATTTGTCACATACATGCTAGAGCACAACACGGGGACTCTGCAACCCGCTCGCTGGGAAGGACGCACTAATGGAGTGCCGGAAAGTGAGGATGACGGCCTCACGCCGTTGCTGCTGCCCCTTTCCTCAGCCTGTCGTACACTGCAGCAGGCCTGCACGGCATGGTATGACCACACGTTCCAGCGCGCCCTGGCATGGGCCCCTGACATCCTGCCAGTCACAATCGCTCGATGGATGGACGGCACAAAACGACGCACCCCGCTGGACCTGCGCAGGCACCTCTCAATGCCGTCTTGGATTGAGGGTCAGGGCCGGCAATGGCATCAATATGCAGTCATTTCGGGAGTTTTTCACATAGGTGCTGACATACACTCCGGCCACTACCGGTCCTTCTGGATTCACCCAAATGGAGGCGCGCTGTATGTGGGGGATGATGCCACCCGCCCATACCCAGCCTCGGCCTCAGATCGCAAACATGTTATGGAAGACTGCTACCTCCTTTTCTTGAGAAGACAGGAGTGACTCTGACTCACCCTCAAGGGGTGAGTGCTGGCCCTCCAAACCTAGGAATGCGTGCACCAATAGGGTGCCTGTGCGTGGGAAGGCCGGACCCCACAATAGGTGGGCATGGCCCCCCCCACGTCAAGGCCAAGCATGCTTTAGGCATGCGCAGGCTTACCCGCAGCTTTTCAGGCTGACCCAGCATGGCTGACACGATCCACAGCCCGGACCACAAAAGTGGTCGAATCGCCTCTCCCCTGGCTCCAGATTCACTAATGGGAGAGCCATCTGAGCCGCTTGGGGTCGACACTCGACGCCAGACATCCGGAGGCGGCAAGCAGCGGCAAGGCAGCGCCCTGCATGCCCTCTCCAACGCTGCAACCAATGGTGCCACTGGCAGACTAAGCAGTAAGTCGCGGAGGCCATGCCTGTTCTCACTTGCGTCTCTTCCGAGACAGACTGATGGCCCTTCTGCCGGATGCCGCCGCTGTCAGTCGGAAATCATGCCCTAGCCTGCTGCCGGTCGCGCTACTGCTGCTCTGCTGACAGCATACACAACGCGAATTCCGTTTCAATGTTCAGGTACATACAACAATCTGGAGCTTGATACCCTGCAGCCTGCAAACTCGCTTTGGCTGATCACTGCCAGTTAGCTCAAAGCCTGTAGGCCGCAACCACTCAAAGGTCTTTTGACCTGGGCGGATCAGCTATAGGGTCTGAGTCAGTTTCACACCAAAGTGAGTGCACCGCGGCAATCGCCCGCTATGTGCAGAGCCCGCTCGCACAGCGTTCAATTGAATAGTAGTAGTAGTAGTAGTAGTAGTAGTAGTAGTAGTAGTAGTAGTAGTAGTAGCGGTAGTAGTCGTCGTCGTAGTAGTAGTAGTAACTGTAGCAGCGATATTGGTGGTAATGGTGTCGGTCGTAGTCGTGGTCGTAGTAGTAATCGCCGTCGTCGTGGTCGTCGTCGTAGTAGTAGTAGTGGTGGTAGTAGTAGTAGTAGTAGTAGTGGTAGGGGTGGTAGTGAAAGTCGTGGTAGTACGTAGTAGTAACGCGTAGCAAATGGTAGTAAGTGGTAGAAGTGGAAGTCGTGGTAGCGTACTGGTGCTGGTTTGAGGGTGGTGGTACCTTGGTAGCGGCAGTAGCGGTAGCCTGCGAATGGTAGTGGTCGACCAGGTCGTGCGTGGTATCGTCCTGCTGGTGGTGCTCAGGTCTGCACGGGATGCAGGTTCCGGAAGGCCAATGTGATGCCAGACCTGAGACATGCAACTTGGACACAGCAGATTCAAGTCAGGTATGTGCGCAAGGGTGTTGTTGGCTCGCCATACGTACTCCGACTGAGGCATGTTCTTCAAGCGCATCAGCCACAGGTGTTCGGTTCAATGACCACTAGCAACCAGCTGGTGGTACGGGCTCTGCTGGAAACCTTTGTAAAACCCTACCTTCGTCGGGAAAAGCTGTGTTGGACCATCCTTACGCTGCGCTCAGACTTTGGTTCAACGCGTGGTCGCCGAGGCCCGAGACCAGAACCATAGACCGGCTGTGAAGGTGAACTGTTTGGAAACCAACCGTGGTCCGGTGCTAAGAGAAGTCTTGTGCACCGACCAGGACATGCTGTGCTCGTTCGCCGGTCCGAAAACGTGTATCGACTCCCACAGCTACCGTAATATACTATAACATACTACAATAGTTTCCACAACAAACACAAACTTTCATTCTAAGGTACTGTCGCATACTGCAAAACCATCATCAGGTCGGGCATCTGGTGCTATCTTCACCCCAAGAAAGCTTAGAAATTCACCGCTCCAGGATGGCACCAGGGTTTTCGACGAAGTCCTCGCGGATTTCCGCAAGGAGCAGCAGTGATAAAATTTGAGAATGAGGGTTGAAGCTCTCGCAACTCGGACTCTGCATGCGACGATGGTTGGTTTTGGGTTTTGTGGATTTGCGGATGTTCATGACACGATCTTGAGTTTGCCTAGCAGAGCCTACTTTGAAAAAGCACTCCGCGAATCATGAGCTTGGAGTTGGGGTAGGGGCCGGGGTAGAGTTTAGGGTTTAGAGTTTAGGGTTTAGGGATGCTTTTTTCCCTCTCGCATGGCTGGAGGCAATGTCCACAGGCGAGGTTACTGGGTTAGGGATGTTTAGGGTTTAGGGTTGTGCATGTGTGAGGGCCGGAACCTTCGCACGCAACGGCGGGGAAAGCTGAAACTCCAAAGTAGCTCCTTTTTGGGGTTACCTTATAGGATTCTAATGATGAGCCCAAAAAAGGAAGCACTCCCATTTAACTTTGAAGTCTTTGCTTCAACACCGGTGTCAGCAGCTCTGGCCTGCTTGCTTGGAAGCTTCACCTGCAAATATGGGCGTTTCCGAAAATAAGGGTACCTTATTTTGGGGTCCCTATATGAAGGATCCTTTTTATCTAGGGTACGAGTACCATATAAGGGTCCCTATTTTCGGAAACTCCCAGATGGCTTTGATAAGGCACAGGAGACAGCAACACGACAGTCCGCAACTGTAAAACCATTGACAGACAAAGAACGATAAATGCAAGGATAGGTGTGCACAAACCTGGGTGGCTGTGCAGCTAGCCATAAAGGTAGGTAGATAGGCAGGTAGGTCGGCAGATAGGTAGATAGACATGGTCTGATCTGATATGTCACTAGGCCCTACGAGTAGTTCTTAGAGTTATTCTCATAAAGCTGACAGACGCTGCCGTCAAACCATCCCCCCTCCTCCCGAATGAAGCGTTGCCAGTGAGCTCTTGCGGAGACCAATCGATCCGGTGTTTGCGTCCGAGTCGTGTTGATTGACCGGATGAGTTGTTGCTTCTGTCAGCCAGCGGCCGAAAGATCTTTTTTTGGCTTCTACAGACGAGAGCAGCTTGGCTTGGATGCTTCAAGCCAGAGTGGGCTTTTGGCCCGCGGGTGTGGGGTCACAGTAGTGCCGTACTGGCCGCGGCCAGCCTGGCGCTTGCAATTTGTTGCAAGCGGGTTTCACCATGTACTTCCGAGGCTTTGATGTCTGTAGGCGCAGTCTCCACACTTCTGGTAATTTGTGAGTATTGTGCAAGCCCATCCCCAGCCGAGCCCATGCTACATAGTCCCGCTGATATCGTCCCACACTCTCACAGCTCGAAAAGAAACGCCGTGCCTTGGGATTCAAGGACAGCGTGGCCGGCCTCAAGCCAGTATTGCTACTCTGATGCGTTGCCACACATGTCGGGCTTGAGGAATCAAAACCATTTCAGCATGCCCTGTGTTCACTAATAACTTAGAAGCTGCCCCCACCCTGTAATAGTGACCATAAGGATTATATGAATAGTATATTAGGGCCCTATTATATTCCTATTATACCACTAATAATAATAAGAGTAATAATAATTATAATAATAACAATAATAACTCTAACTCTCTAAAGGGCGCTCTGATGCTTCCAGGGCTCGACCAGCTTCCAGGCGCTCAAGCTGTTTAGGGAGGTACTTAGAGACTCTAATATCTCTTAATTAAGGAATATTCCTTAAATCATATTAGGGATCCTATTATAATTTAAGGTATATTCCTTAATTAAGGGATATTGGAGTCTCTGGGTATCCCCTCGATACCCAGAACGAAGGCAAGCTTTCAATGCCATACACTCCGTGCCCTGGACTAAGGCATAGCAAGACCGGCCACCTAGACGTCGTTCCTGCGTGGTACATGGCTTTTTCCGCACAAGGGGCGTCGGCTTGGCATGCAGGATGGTGCCCAAGCTGAAGCACTCATCCGCAGACTCATTCCAGCTGTATTGGCAGCTCCACGTCCCGACTCGGCTCCTCCTTCAGACGCCTGCGTTTCAGGAGCCCTTCGCGCAGAACAGGCTGCGACAGTTCCTCCTTCTGGCGCTTCTGGGGTTCACGAATAAATCCCGGCAAGACCCAGCGCGGAAGGGGCGCCGGGGGCAGGTCGCGTTTCAGCGCGGCCTCCAGGAGCTCGCGGCTGCGATGCGCCCCTGTGTCTCCCGGAGGAAAAGCCTTCTGCAAGGCCAAAGGCTCCAAATTCCCGCGATGTAAGGCGTTGGTCAGCCGCTGAATCGCAGGGTTCACTCGTTTGCCAGCAGAGTCGGGGAGCAAGCGTAGGCCGGAGCAGTGAAACCCTGCCCTCCGCCAAAACTCACCCTCCTGGTAAGGACGCCAGAAACATTTCGTCAGATTCTTGGACCGCATCACGAGCCCAAAGACTCGCGGTATGTCCAGCCAGGCAGCGTGGGTCCTGTCCACCTGCATCAGGGAACCGCAAATTAAATTACTGAGGATCGGAATGTCGACAAAGCGGTCTCTGAAGCCTAAGAAACAACTCCTTCCTGTCAGGGGCCCTGCCCAAAGGGGTCATCGGAATTCTGAGCTCCCACCTTGGTTGAGGAAATCGCTTTGTCCAGCAACCGCCGCTCGCGAGTCAGTGCTTTGAGCCTGGCCACCTGCAAGCGTCCCGTGAAAACGGTTGATGATATAAATCCTGCATTCTCATAGCTTAGGGTCCTTAAGGTAATGCAAGATTCATATAATCAACCGAAAGCTCTAACATGCTACAAACCCGAAGTGACCTAATGCCCAATTAGCCCTGAAGGACCTCCAATCCGTTAAAGGTGCTTTAGCGCGGAGGGCTTCCTTTGTAGGATACGTTTGGGAGCGTTGGAGCACAGTTCCCTGTAGATACTAAACCTCCAACATCCCCATCAGAAAGAACTCCCAGTCATGTTCGGCGAACTCCGACCTGGCGTTCATTGATGCCACAGCCTTTGTCCTAAGTTCACTCTGAACAAAAACCAGAAGAAGACGTCAAAACACTAACAACCATGTAGATGAAGAACCTTTGGGCAGTAAGCTTCTCAGCTCATGTACACAGTTCGGCACAAGTGCCGAGCTAAGGGCTGTCGCGGTGGTAGTAGCAGTAGGACCAGCAGTAGCAGCAGCAGTAGCAGTGGCCGTGGCCGTGGCCGTGGCCGTGGCCGTGGCCGTGGCCGTGGTAGTAGTAGTAGTAGTAGTAGTAGTAGCAGTAGTAGAAGTAGTCATAGTCGTAGTCGCAGCAGCAGCAGTAGTACATAATAGTAGTAGCCCTCGTCGAGATAGTTTGAGCAGCGCTGCATTTGTTATTGTTGTTGGTGGATATTGGTGGCCACCGCGCTAGCAGCACTGGAACATGTTGACTACACTGGAAGCTCTGGTAGCCAGGGCTACTACGATTCATTCTACCATGCTGATTCGCAGCATCTTCTCCCTCAGCCTGTCACGCTTGGAAGCCGAGACTCGATAAAGGTGAAGGCTAAGTTGCTGAGAGGAACTCCTGGCGGGAACAACCCCCTTTTTCGCAGGAGCCAGCCAGGAACCCTAAATCTAAACCCAAGGCCTAAGGCCCCAAACCTTGCTTAAACCTGACGCTTTGAAACCTACATGCAACACTAACTGCAGCAAGTAATAATAGGTACATACACCCTGCAACAAGTAACAGCTACACCCTTTTTTTAAAGCAGTCGCTTCGTTGTAAGTAAACTCTGAACCCCAAACCGCAGAGCTCCTGCCGGGCCCTCGAGTCCCCTGAGGAGAACTTCCAAGACATCTCCGCGGAAGTAGAGCTCACCGAAGTCGCCTGGGGTTTAGGGTTTAGGGTGTAAGGTCTAGGGTTTAGGGTTTATAGGGTATAGGGTTTAGGGTTTAGGGTTTATAGGGTTTAGGGTTTAGGATTTAGGGTGCTCACCGAAGTCGCCTGGGGTTTAGGGTTTAGGGTGTAAGGTCTAGGGTTTAGGGTTTATAGGGTATAGGGTTTAGGGTTTAGGGTTTATAGGGTTTAGGGTTTAGGATTTAGGGTGCTCACCGAAGTCGCCTGGGGTTTAGGGTTTAGGGTGTAAGGTCTAGGGTTTAGGGTTTATAGGGTATAGGCAAACACTTGCAAGTGAACATGTCCGACGTTTAGGGTTTAGGGTTTATAGGGTTTAGGGTTTAGGATTTAGGGTGCTCACCGAAGTCGCCTGGGGTTTAGGGTTTAGGGTGTAAGGTCTAGGGTTTAGGGTTTATAGGGTATAGGGTTTAGGGTTTAGGGTTTATAGGGTTTAGGGTTTAGGATTTAGGGTGCTCACCGAAGTCGCCTGGGGTTTAGGGTTTAGGGTGTAAGGTCTAGGGTTTAGGGTTTTTTGTCACTCGTGCTCGACAAGTCAGACGAGGGTTTAGCAACTGAAGACACTACAGATCATGTCAGCCCGCATTGGGACCAAATTTTCTACGTTAACAAAGTTTCAGCGATCCATCCTTCAACCGGTTTGTTCTCGAATCCACAACCATCCACAACCATCCAGGCCCATCAGCAGTTACGACAAAGTTGATGCCGCAACCAAAAACAATCGCGCCTCAAAAAGCAAGAAAACAAGGCACGAGCCAACGACATCGAGGAGCCTTCAATCTTACAATCCAGCAAAGGATGGCAAGACAGGAATAGGCACACAGTTCAAATATGCTTCTCCGTCTCGAGGGCCACCCCAGTCGAGGACATCCACCCCTCAGTGGTATTTCCTGAAGGTGTACTGTCACAGATCCAACCCGCTCACATGCAGTAGGTTCAGGCGAGAAAAAGCCCCCTCAGCCATGTGGATCCGCAGGGGGTCTGTAAGAGGTCGAATGTGCGCCTTTCTTCAAGCTGCCTCGCAAGGCTACCCGAAACGCAAACATCTAGCCCTAAGCCAATCCCGAAGCACCAGCAATGCAGAAAAGACAACTGCAAACCTTGATGCGTGTGGCTCACAGCAATCGCATCGGGTTTATACGACTTTCGCCTGAGCATCCACGACACGTCCACGATCCTCTATGTAGAGGTCTTGACAGCGGGAGAATCACCACAGCCTAGGCTATGCCAGAAAGTATGTCCAGGTCCTTGCAGCAGAACAGTCAGTGCACAGTCGGTGCATTTTTGATTGTATCAGAAGGTCCAGGAGTTCGACACATCACGCGCCAGATTGACATGACTGGTCCCAGGGGCCCCCAGCGGCCCATGACAAATACGCCAGTCTCAGTGAGGCCAGTAACACCCTGCAAGGGGTCACTCTTCTCACTCAGGTCCATTGCTTGTATCCAATCCAGTTTCCGCCAATAAAGCGCGCAACAAGTTTTCAGCAAGTATCGAGAGCACAGCACCATGGCTAAACTCCTACTCAGCAGACCTACACACGAAAGGCTCAAGCAGCCTGTTGCCAGTCCTTCAGATATAGGGGAATATACCCCCAGGTGTTGGCCCCCGGTAATGAGCAAGTGAGGGATACACCTCACAGCAGCCTCTGAGGGGAGGGGGAGGGGGTGGGCAGGGCAGGGCAGGAGGAGGGGGGGGGGGGGGGGGGGGGGGGGGGGGGACATCACCCATGCAGCACCACCCAAGGGTCGCAGCAACATCCATCCATACACGCACTTTTTCGAAAAGTAGGCAGAAGCACACGCACCAACACCAGGGGCAACCGCACAAGTATATGACATCCACCAAGCGTCATAAGCATCACACCACCACAAACATGGCCCCCTTTCAAAGACTGCGCTCATGAGTCAGCATTTCCACTGTCGTCGGACTCCTCGACTGGTTTGCTCTAGGTGTATGTACATGTTGCCCACAGCCTACGTTGTGGCTGTGGAAAGGCTGTACGGCGGCTGTATGTTACTAATTGCTCGTGTCCAGGTATCCACAGGAAAAGGAGCACGAAGCAGGAGAAAAAACAGTGCAGTGCAAGGTAAGGAAAGGCAGGAAGGCAGGCAGTGCATTAAAAGCAAGGAAAACAGTGCAGGGAAGTGAAGATCAAAAGGTGCAGCAGTGCAGGGGAGATCCCCAAAAAGGCTTACAGATCCAGGTGTCAGCCGATGACCGGGGCCCAAGCAAGACTAAAGGTAAAAACCACAACTCATAAAAACCCTCGACTCGGCTGACCCCCGGATGAGCTCCCCATTCGGTGTGACACTGTCTTGGCATGGGCACACGGCTCCAACGGGAGCGTAGATGGAACGAAGTGATCTAGCACCCACAGTGCAAACGACTCCGAGGCAGCAAGCTCATACACAGGATAGAAAGTGAAGCACCCGCTCGTGGCCGACAAAGCGGACGCCCAGACGGAGGACATGACGACGAAGACGTCATGTACGACAGCGTTGACAGCCTCTGACAGACGCCCTACCTTCTTCGCCATTGTGGCCTTCACTCGACCCTCGATCGCCCATTTCCTGCCATATATCTCGATGCTCGAGTCATTGGCCACTGTTTCTTCCCATTTGAGAGGCACCTGATTAGCCTCAGCCACCTGAAATAGGGTCGCGGTGAAGCTGCGAACATGAGCCGAGAGAATTCGCACCCATTCTGGCTTGAACTCATCACCAATGCAGCAAGCGTCCGGAACGGGCTGAGTCCCTTCGATGTTCTGATTATCTCCAGCCCCTTTGAGCCAGGTGACGGTGTTGCTGCGGTCACCAGCATCAGCGACGACCCCGCACGTGGTTATTGTGCCTTTCTTTTGTTGGATCCCATCGCCCCATCGAGCATCGGTGCGATACACACCCTCTTGACCATGATAGTTGTGCCTCCAATCAAGAAGAATGGCCTTGTCCTCCTCGTTAAATGAATCAGCCATGCCAAGAGGCTCGTTGTACTCGCCACTGAACTTCATAGCGGTCATCGCCCTTGCTGCCGAGGCGGAAGCAGCACGGTACCCTCGCGCCTCCTCGAGGCACTGATCGATGGTTCTTCCACCCGCTAATGATGTGAGCCATAGTGGCGGGCCAAAGTGATGCCCTGGCTTTCTGACTATGCGCAAGTCGCTTTCCACCGGTGTGATGAGACCATCATTGGCCAGTTCCTGCCCAAGCAGGTAACTGATGTTCGACTCCGTGTGGCGTGCATCAGGGAAGGGGTGATGCGCCGTTGTGTAGTGAGGCACAGCAATGTGTCGCTGAAAGAAAGCTGTTGTGAAGAAGCGACAAGGGCGCCTGACCACGGGGCGATCCCTGTGCGGCTTTCTGTTCCTTGCAGATTGTGTGAGTGACCTCATTTCAGCGAAGAGATCATTGATCTCTGCCATGACAATCCTCATGATGTCGTAGGCTTCTCGCTCAAAATCAACGGTCATTGGTGCCACTGACATAGTGTCGCCCACTGGTTCAGCCTGAAGCTGTGCCCTGGTCCTGACCACTATTCGCATGAGGCGGTAATGAGCGAGGATTTGACGCTCGGCTTCACTGCAGCCGTGAAACTCTATGGCTGAGAGCACGCAAGCAGCAGGCGGGTGGTACCGATGTGCCCGCACTTGGATGCACTCGGCAAAAATCAGCTGCTGGCGCGTGAAGTACTCAAAGTTGTAAGGGTTCGCACCCTTCCATTCAGCACCCGTGTACACAGGGTCAATTGGTGCTTGTCCTTCCGGTGGGAGGTCCGGCCGCGACTCGCGCACCCTCTCAGGGGTTGTATTATGAAGCTCCTTGAGGAGGAATCTTGCCTCTCTGTCTCGCTTGGCATAGCTCAGCCAGACAAGCCTGTCTTCCGGGGGCAGTGGCGACCGTGGGTCTGCTGCTGCCTTGACCCAGAGATTGGCGGACTCCTTGAACCCATGAAGACGGTCCATGAGAATGCTGTGGGGTCTCATGCAACCCTCGAACCACTGCTGACACCAGCGCTTGAAGTCGGCTTGTAATCGCCAGGTCCAGACACGACCCTTGGCGCTCCCCCTGTTTATCGCTGCTGTTTTCACTGCTGACACGGCCTCATCTGTCGCCGTAACAGACGCATGATGCTGCCTCGGCGCACCCATGAGTCTCTTCGTCACCTCCTTCTCCGAGGCCGTGACCGTCTGCGCCTCAATGTAGTTCATCATTCCACCTTCCTGCGACAGGTTGTTTTCGCCAACGGAGAAGAACCGTCGCGTTGCGCGCACAGTGAACGTGTAACAGCGCGACATCCAGTCAAGCCGCTTCTCCTTCGGGGACGACCCGTAGATGGCATACGCAACATGGACTGGCAAGACGCAGAAAAACCACAGCAGGTAGACGAACGCTTCATCGAGCGACTCCCATGTTGACTGAGTCAGCTTTCGACTCTCTTGTTGCTCAACGTGTGCGCCAAGGACCGAGTCATTGTACATCGCTGTCACGTTACCTGTCGGCAGCATGACTGCCTTCGGTGGGGTGTTCTTAGCCGGGTCAGGTATTGGATCGAACCTGATGAGCCTGGCAAAGGGGACATCAAACCATGCCCTGTTGGGCGGTGCATGTTTCAGCATTGCATCAACTGTGGCTGCACGCTCATTAAACCAGCTGTTGAGCAGCTCTGATGCCGTGTCACAACGACCGATGATCGTCGGCAGTCGATGATGCTTGATCAGATGGCACTCCGACACTTGTTTGGCCACAGACCCGGCAGCAGACTTTGCTGCCTCCACCGTTTCGCTTGTTGCCACCTTGGGCTCCGTCATCACCTTCTGGCTCTTGCTAAACGAATCACGCACGCAGCACATGTCGTATCCCATCCAGCGAAGGAGCCCGAACACCTCAGGAAGCTGATGCTCAGTGGGGGCAGCTGCTCGAATCATCGCGACAAAAGCCTGCGTCACGGTGACTGCATAGGCGAAATTGGCCTCGATCTCAGGTTCGTTGGGTTCGACCCGCTCGTACCTTAGCACAACCGGGTTCCCCGTTGTGTTCACGTTTGCTCTAACGCCCATCTCTGTGGCGAGACTAAGACTCACCTTTCTGATCGCGTTGACGAGGAGATCACAGCGTGTGTCGAGCCTGCTCAGCTGAGCGAGCCCGATTCCAAAAGTCAGCGTCTCAATCTCACCAAACACGACAAAGGCGGCACGGCCATGGCGGCGGCCAAGAGCTCTGCAGAAATGCACAAGAGCCAGCAGCGGTTCATAAGGAGGAAACTCGACCGTTCCGACAGCCTCCAACAGACGTGAGGTGGCCATGACCTTGTACTGGAACCTCACGGAGTCTCTTGCCGAGAGCAGCATGTCTCGACTCCATATCACCCACGACCCTGACATATCATGGGCATCTGTCTTGAACATTGTCCCTTTCAAATGCGGCAGCATCCACAACACAAAGTTTGATAGAGGTACGAAATGAGCAAACCACTCGCAGGCGTCGCCTTGCAGTGAGCCGCTGTCTTCACAAAATGTTGCGTAGCGCCACTTTTGAAGCATTGATGCCCATTTGGGAAGCGAACGGTCGCGGCTAGCGCTGATGCGCTGAGCGTCCAGCAGGTTCAGGAGATGCGTAAGAGCGAGGTAAGGCCTGGACATGTCTGCCACCTCCTGTCGCAACTTGTCGTCGTCAAGTTTGTCAACAACTGTCTCTAGGTCATCAAGGTCAGTCATTTCGTGACCATGCGCTCTCATCCCTTTGAGCACCGATCTTGTCACGCGTGCTGCAGCTATGGAGCCTGCCTCGCACGCGCGACCAACAACGGAAAGCTCAGGTGGTAGTTCGAATGAGTTGAAGACGAACCCGGAGACTATTGCAAAGTGCAACCTGCCATCGTCAATGCAGAACTTCGGCGTGAGCTTCTTTCCATCAGCTGTCTTCGTTGCAAACTTTGGGAGGTAGAGTTCCGCTTCTTTTCGCACCGTGTGCGAGACTCTCATGTAATGAACTGCAGTCTTTGGCAGCTTTGTGCATGTCAGAAAGTCAACAACTTCATCATACGTTATCGCACTTTGGCACACCTTTGCCGCTGGCCTCAGCGAGTCTGGCTCGCCAAACCCTTCTGTAAAGTAGTCCATCTTGAGCCAAAATGGCTACGGTTTAGGGTTTATAGGGTATAGGGTTTAGGGTTTATAGGGTTTAGGGTTTAGGATTTAGGGTGCTCACCGAAGTCGCCTGGGCCGGGAGGCGAGGAGCGCTAGGGGAAGCGAGGCAACCTTAGCGGCCTTCCTTTCGAATTCCAGAATATTAATAACCACAATGATAATCATTATCACAATAACAATAGTACGAATAAGAATAACAATAGTAATTACAGTTATAAGAAACGAATAACAGTGTTTGTTATAAGAAGCGAAGAACGGTAGTTTGTAGTAATACTGTATAACCATAATAACAAGAATACCCCCGCTCTAGCATTTTGCACAGTTTCAGAACGAGACAAGAACATGCGACCAAAGCCAACATTGGAATTAGAATAAGGTCTGGATCCAGGTGCATGCCCACAAGAAGCCGCGCCGGAGCACTTGAGCCAACAGGGAAGCCAATGATGTGGAGGTAGCCAACGCACCATTGCAGCCGATGCTCAGGAAGTGGATATCCTGAGTCTGGCTCCGGCTTGCCAGTAAAGTACTCGCAGCAAGCGTCTACACTTTTTCCCCGGATGAGTTCGAAGTTTCATTTCTGTGGAAGATAAACTTACCCATCGTGGCCTGGTTGTTTTCCAGGGCGCGGAGCACCGCGTGCAGATCCGCACCCCGGCACCCAGCCAGCGATGTGCGCAGCGACAGCACAGGCCCCACAGTTCCAGCAGTCATCTGGGAAATCAAAGAGAGCGCAGATTTCGAGGCACCGCTTCCTCCAGGACAAGGCCATGGAGAGAAATGTCTGGCCATGTTCTTTTTGGACGGCTTGGTCTTGGTTGGGCGCTTGGAAAGCTTGCCACCGGTCTCACCCGTGCATGTGGCATGCTGCTCACCCTCGGCTTCAGTTGCAGTATCGGCGCCATCATTCATTCTTCGAGGCGAGCGGGTCTGAGATGCATGTGAAACGCAGAATGAGCGATCCGAATACAGCTCGGTGTCTTGGTCACGGCAGCTGGCACCGTAGTTTCTGCTGACCTATAGGTTCGCTCGTCCTGGCAATCTTTGCTCGAGCTCTACGGCTGCAGCGACTCCATCGTGTGCCACTCCAGGGCTCACGGCTACCAGTCCCATAGCGTCCTGTGAAATCGGAAAAAACACCTCAAGAATCCGCTGAACGCTTACAGGCACGGAAATGCAGACTTGGGAGACGTGGTACTGGCCTCGACGAAAGTTTGGCTTCAAGTTCAACTCCACAAATCGCTGCCAGTACTTGTACGATGATGCTTCTACCAGCTAGCGCTCTGAAGTTGCGTATGGGTTGTCGTCGTCACCGTTGCTTGTCGTCAGAGCCGTGGGGGCAGTCATTTTTTACTAGGGTCTTCATGATCATCGTCGGTGGAGGTGGGGGTCCTGGTGCAGGTGGCGGTTGTGGAGGTGCTGTGCTGGTATGTGCTGCTTGTGGTGGTGGCGGTGGTGGGTGTGGAGTCTGGATTTCTGGCATCCTTGTACAACACAGTGTATGTATGTAATCCGGTATTTATGTCTATATATATATATATCATACATTGTATGTGTATGTATATGTATATATATATATATATATATATATATATATATGTGTGTGTGTGTGAGTGTGTTATATATATATATATATACATACATACATACGTGCATACATACATAAATACATATACATATACATATGCATATACATATACATACGCACATATGGATAGATATATATATATATATACACACACATACACAAATACACACAGATAACATTATATACAACCTGCAAGGACTGGGAATCCGGGCCAGTCGACGGCCCAACCAGGTCGGACACCTGCGGCCTGTGGGCAGAGGCATCTTCGTGATGGATGCAGCAGTAACCCATCGACCCAGAGCATCACTATACTATACTAAACTGTACTCTACCGTGTGCTACAAGTATATACTATACTCCATCATCCGATAGTGTACTAGCCGCACTTGACCTCTGTACTGGGCCTTGCGATTGTCAATGGCTTCCCGACACACCTGTCTCTATGAGACTTAGCGATGCAGCTGCTACTGCTACGCGCATACGGAGTGTATTGATGGATTATGTTGCCCCTTTGTATAGGTATCTCCTTCTCTCATACCGGAGAACGTCGTGCGGATGCTTCAAGAAACTTTCCTGGACTCTGTGCGGCAATGCCGTTTGCCCACATGCTTCCGGTTCTTTGCAGAAACATGTCGCCATCCGTCCCATTTTGGGCGATGGATGGGCCGATGGGCAGCCTATCGGCTTCTTAAACTTGCAGCCTCCTGCTATGAGGAGCTGCATGTAATCGCTCTCCTCGGCACTGGCCCCCCAAACCGTCAAAGCTTTAAGCCACTGTATCACCATGCACAGCTCTACCGAGAATCTTTCTGGCCTGACTGATGTGCACGGAGGAACTGTTGAAGATAAGGGAACTTCATAGCCGCCATGGCCCCAAGCAGGGGCAACGCACACGTCGAGAGCGCTTGTCCAATGCCTTGGAAGCTTCCTGGACGCATTCGTCTGCAAACCCCTTTCGTTTACGCTTAGTAGCTGTCAGAGGACAGCTTGACCAACTATCCAACGATGCGGCACCTCGAAAAGCTTCTCTATACATCAACTGTACCAGTAGACTCGGTCATGTCATTGGATACCATGGAGGACAGCAAATGTCCCGGTCTGTCGCTCATCCAGAAACCCTCCAAGGCAAAATCCTAGTTCGCCTGAGCATCGGCAAGCTGTCGAAGATTCAGATTCAGGCTCCGCATTTATGGCCCAGACATTTCACAAGGTAGAAAAGAGGCCAGATTATGAAGAAGCAGTGCCTCACATAAAGGGCCTTGAAAGAGTGTGGGATATACGCATCATCTCACTCCACGAGGCACGCCAAGCCAACACCTTGTGGCCCAAGTTGGCATTTCAACCAAGCAGGCGGGGATGGGTTTCAAGTGGGAGTGCTTCGCATGGTTGCTTCTCGCGCAGCTGCTACTGCTACCGCCATCGCTGCTATTCCATGACCGTAACTCTCACTCTGACTCTTCAAGCCTCGACCCTTCCGCCACCCAGCCCGCACAACCTCGAAGCACGGCATCTCGTCAGAATGTGCCCATCTTGTGCAGCCCTCGGATGGCGCCGTGCAGCTTGGCCTCCTTGCAGCCCTGCACCTGGAATTCAGGGCTGAATATCCGGGTCGCGTAGGCTACGGGCATCCAGGATACTTGCCGAGATGCAAAGTCGCAATCACGGCGATTAAGGAAGGTGCGAGTAAGCCAGCAGGTTCTAGAATCTAGAAGTTCTCTGGCCGCTGCATGGTAAGGTGAAGGGTCCCGGGAAAGACAAGCCCTTGCTGGTCCAGGCCCTGACTCAAATAGCCGCCAGGGCACAGGCATAGGTTTCCTTCGGTCAAAACATCTCGAGCTTCTTGTATCCAAGTAAAGAGGCTATAAGTGGCTGTAAGTGCCAAGCTCCACAGGGAGCCGGAGAGGGACGAGGCTGATGCGAATGGACTAGCCAATGAAGGTCGCCACCCACAGAATTGAGCAACGATGACTGGCTGTTAGTTTAAGTTCTTCATGCCCGGTGGTGCGTCACATGCAGCTCTACACAGCACATTCGTAAGCCCATGTCCTGGAAAACAGCAATTCCCCCCGTGCTCTCCATCGGAGCTACCGAAGCTTTTCAGCGGTTAGCGTCCTCACCGTGTCGATCCGCCCAAAGTACTTGCCTTGCAATCGAGAGCATGCATCTCTTCTGCAGCTTGTCCTTTAGCCGAAACACCTCAACCTATGAGACGACAAAGTTTCAGAAGACAAACACTTTAAACGACAAGTTGATGACAACGATGGAGATGGTAAGTCTGCCGATGATTGCTGCTGGTGAGAGCGGTAGTGATGATTGTCATGGCTTTGACGACAGCGGCAACGACGAGGAAGAAGACGATGAGGGGAAGGAGCAGGAGTAGAGAAGGAAGAGGAGACGGTGAAAGTGATGAAGACGGGTGTTATTATGACGATGATGGTGATGATGCGGATGCCGGTGACGATGATGACGGTGGTGGCGGTGACAGTGATGACGTGAGGCTCTGATGGCGACAAGGACGACGCTAAACATGTTGAAGCTGTTGGCGATGGTGATAATGCTCCTGATGACGGTGCAACTGGTCTGGGCCAGCTGATGAAGGTGGCAACAGTAAAACTTGTGGCAGATGTGGCAGCGATGGCCGTCGTGAAGAAGAAGATGACGGGCTGTCGTTCAAAAATGCTGGAAAACGCCCAAACTACAAATCATCAGTATCACCATCCGCGCTATCCTGATTGCCGCTTGCGTGCCATCACAGCCACGCTTACAAAATACATGACTTTCGCGATCGCCAGTCCGCCTTCCCGGCTCGGCAACACAAAGCAAGCCGTCCGAGTCACAGAAGTCCGCGTAGGACATCCAGAAGGTCCCAGTCACATTCGGCTTGAAATGTACCTGCTTTGGGACTTGGCATCTGTGTCGATGTCCTATCGGTTATGGGTAGCCTCGACCAAATCTTGAACGCTAAACTGTGGGATCATCCGAGCTCGGGTGTGATTGCCGACACAGCTTCCCACACTCGCAAAAAGCAGCAGCAGCTGAATCCCATTACATTGCATAATCCCCCGCGATCCGGCTCGTCTCGCCACGCCTGCTGCTTCGCTGCCGGGCAATCCTCCCAGGCATCCGACGTATCGCACCAGCGTCCGGACCTCAAGAGCTCAAGAAGTTCCTTTGTTGCTTCCTATACTTCCTCCTACTTCGGGCTTCGCGAGGACTTACGTGAGGTGCTTCCAGCAGCGAATTTCACCGCAAGTCCGGGTGAGGCGAGGTCCATCTGCAGGCCTACTCAACCCGGCGTTGCCAGCGGCGGCTTCAGGGTTCGAACCAAGGGAACCCGGTGATAGCCATTGTAAATGTAGCCATCGTTTGGCCCAGAACACTCAGGCTGGACATGTCCAGAAACATCAAGAGCTCTGCACCAGAGCTCCGTGAGAGGAGCACCAGAAACCTTTCCGGAGCCCCTCACGCCGGAGCCGCTGGGCGGAAGCCGGACCACAGACTCGAAGCGCACCCAAGCCCGACAGGGACCTCGCCGGTCATCTTTTGGGATTTCCTCGAAAAGGCAGGTCGCCCGCTGCCAGCTCTGACCTTTGTCTGCCGAAAGCTCCACCGCCTGGATAGCATGCGGGCCGCCGCCTGCGTAGGCCACGCCTCGCACTTCCACTGCACTCGCCGACGCATCGAGCCAGGCCCCAGGCTCCGGAGAGAGGATCAGAGAGTTCATGGGCAAATCAAAGATGGGTGCGGACCTCCCGGCATCGCGGTAGTAGTTGGCAGTCCAGGGAGCATCAGACTCCTTCCCTATTGTCAGCTTCGTTAACCACTTTACGTTTCGAGCGCCGGCAACGCCTGGCAACAGTGCTCGCACGGGATAGCCATGATCCGGTGTTAGCTCCTCCCCGTTCATGTGCGTCGCCAAAATGCAATCGGCACTCTTGTCCAACGCAAGACTTAGCGGTATAGAGGTGTAGAAGCCGTCGGCCCCCTCCAAGGTCAAATGCAATTCCTGCACGGCTGCTGCGGACAGTGTGCTCACTGACGGGAAAAGCATGTGCAGAACATCATCCAGGCGGAAGCCGCTCCATGACGCATTTCCCAGCATGCCGGCACCACTCCACTCGCCGTCTCCGCCCACGAAGCGGCTGCTACGATAGCCGTTTGCCACTATGTTGTCTGCTGCCCGGTTTCCAGTGCATTGGAGGATGGAAGTGATTCGCTGGCTAGGAAATCGCTTTTGGAGCTCCCCCAGGGTTAGATCCACTTCCGGGCCCCCCTCTGATACAAAGGTAAGTATATGATCGGTTGACGTTTCAATGGCAGGTACGGGCGCATGGTTTCGCACATAGAGCTTCCCCTTTGGCGTCAAAAACTCTTCTGCCATCTCCGACAGGCACGTCTCTGTCTGAAATGGCACCTCACTCAGGATCACTCCCGTCCGACGAGACTCCTCGCGGCCTGGTGCTGTCTGCTCTGCTTCCCAAGCTCCACCTCCGTAACGCTCCAGGTCCTCCTCGGCTTCATAGTCCAGCAGCCGCCCGATGCGCAAAGTCTCCAGCGCCGCCGCCACCTCCGGAGAGAGATGGTGCTGGGCCCAGTGCTTCCACCATCCATCGACCGGCCCACCAGCTGCCTGCAGGATCAACTGCCCACCAGGGTGCTTTGTCAAGTACTCGGTGATATCATACACTCCATCACGATAGGTCACCCAGATTGAACCGTTCCTGCCATCGTGTTGCTGCACTTCCGTGCGACGGAACACTGGCTCCTTATCGTGGCCGACAGCCCCCCGCCAACGCGGGGCGACAAAGGGTCGGGAGTTGTGTGACCAGTCATACCCTGGATGCCACCCGGCGCATGACGCAGGCGGTCGCGATTTGGGTTCCTTCTGCCGACAAGGCAAAGGCACGTGGAGGGCTGCAAGGGTGGCGCAGCCAATGGCACGTAGGTGGTTTCGGGCCATGAAGCTCCAGACCTGCCTGTGCCGCCACGGTCACAACCGTGACGAGGCAGTCTTTCGGCACCACGGTGGGCTGGAAAAAATGAAGCCCTCCGCTTTCAGCTTGAGCTACAGCAGGGCCATGTTGCGCAAAGGCAGGGGACTCGGGCATGTGCTTTGGAAGAGCTTGGTTCCAAGTTTTGGGAGGAGAAAGGATGACGGATAGGTTCGCAGGGAACCAGCCGAGCAGACACGACTGGACACACAAGGTCTCTAAATGAGGCTCGCCTTCTGCATTAGCGCATGTTCTGGTTTTCCCTCGGTCAGGCAGGGGTCATGGCTTCGCGGCGAATGTGGGATGGTCCTGCTTTAGATACCGACAGAAAGTTACGTTTTGCAGACGGCACTCATAGTGCAAATGCTTCCAACTTCCAATCAACTGAGACCTTCAGCTTAGGCAAGCATGACACACAAATAGCGAGCAACCACGAAGCTGCGTGGCCAAGAACCGGAGTTAGAAGCTGGGTGGGCGTGCGGGTACATGAGCATGCAAGAAACGATGCCGTCATGCTGCACCTTAATGAAATGGAGAAGTTAATGATAACTGTAGGATTTGGTTCGAGAGGCAAACAGATAGGAACCAAGTTCTCGGGCTGGTGTGAAGCCAGTCAGTCATAGTATCCCCCTCATAATCCCAAGAGTCTTTCTACAGCGCATCGCAAAACCCGTTCCAATTATTGGAATCTCTATACTCTACACTGGGCCCCCTGCCAACCAGTGTAGCCATGCGGATCGCGAAGGCGAACCAGTCGCAGGATTCCTGGCAAGGCTACAAGTAGCGTGTTAAGGTGCTGTAACCCCAAAAGGAGGTGGAGTTCGTTTGGAACAACTCCCATGCACGCCGTCTGAACCAATTTCGCACTTCGACGAGCAATTGAATGGTGTTAGGGAGCCGCACGGGCGCGCATCATCAGCATCAGCTGGACTTCCCTTCAAACTCTCTCTCCCTTCTGCCGGCCTGTGAACCCAAAGCACGCATAGCACCACCACCCCAGTGCATAGCTAGCCACATGGGCGCGCATCATCAGCATCAGCTGGACTTCCCTTCAAACTCTCTCTCCCTTCTGCCGGCCTGTGAACCCAAAGCACGCATAGCACCACCACCCCAGTGCATAGCTAGCCACATGGGCGCGCATCATCAGCATCAGCTGGACTTCCCTTCAAACTCTCTCTCCCTTCTGCCGGCCTGTGAACCCAAAGCACGCATAGCAATACCACCCCAGTGCATAGCTAGCCACATGGGCGCGCATCATCAGCATCAGCTGGACTTCCCTTCAAACTCTTTCTCTCATCTGCCGGTCGGTGCAACCGGAGCATGCATTTGGCGAGTGGCACGGGCCAGCATCATCAGCATCAGCTGGACTTCCCTTCAAGCTCTCTATCCCGTGTGCCACCCGGCGAACCCAGAGCACTGGTAACAGTTCGATCCGAGTGACTGAACTGTTTTGGCGAGCAGCACGGGCAAACATCATCAGCATCAGCTGGGCTTTCCTTCAACCTCTCTGGCCGGTGAACCCAGAGCACACATAGCAGTTCGACCCCGGTGGTTGAACGAGCCGCACGGGCGCGCATCATCAGCATCAGCTGGACTTCCCTTCAAACTCTCTCTCCCTTCTGCCGGCCTGTGAACCCAAAGCACGCAGAGCAATACCACCCCAGCGCATAGCTAGCCACATGGGCGCGCATCATCAGCATCAGCTGGACTTCCCGTCAAACTCTCTCTCTCCCTTTTGACTGCCTATGAACCCAAAGCACGCATAGCAGTACCACCCCGGTGCATAGCTAGCCACATCGGCGCGCATCATCAGCATCAGCTGGACTTCCCCTCAAACTCTTTCTCTGATCTGCCGGCCGGTGAACCCAGAGCATGCATTTGGCGAGCGGCTCGGACCAGCATCATCAGCATCAGCTGGACTTCCCTTCAAGCTCTCTAGCGCATATGCCGCCCGGTGAACCTAGGGCAACAGTTCGACCCCAGTGACTGGATGGTTTTGGCGAGCAGCACGGGCAAACATCATCAGCATCAGCTGGACTTTCCTTCAACCTCTCTCCCATCTGCTGGCCGGTGAACCCAGAGCACGCATAGCGGTTCGACCTGTGAATGAATGTTCTGGTTTTGGAATAGATCTTTTTCAGAGACGGCGTTCCAAACGTATGCTCCGTGCGAACTTTTGTTGCTACACACGAGACACCTCATCAGAAAGCCGAAGGGGCGAGCATCATCAGCATCAGCTTGACGTCCCTTCAAACTCGCTCTCCCGTCCGTGCGCCTGTGAGCCCCAAGCATGCGTAGCAGTTCGACCCCACATGAAATAAAAAGCCTCACGGGCAAGCATCATCAGCATCAGCTGAAGTGAGCCGCACGGGCGAGCGTCCAGGTTCCGCTCCAGCTGTCTCTCTGACATCTGCCGACCCGACCGGTGAACCTAGAGCATGCATAGCAGTTCGACCCGAGTGATTGAATGGAGCAAGCCGGATGGGCGAGCATCATCAACATCAGCTGGACTTCCCTTCAAACTCTCCCTCCCTTCTGCAGGCCCGTGAACCCAGAGCACGCATAGCAGTTCGACACCACTGATTGAATTGTTTTAGTGAGCCGCACGGGCGAGCATCATCAGCATCAGCTGGACTTCCGCTCAAACAATCCCCCCCCCCGCCCATCTGCAGACCGGTGAACCTAGAGCACGCTTAGCAGTTCAGCCCAGCCCCAATGATTGAACGGCTTTAGCGACCCGCACAGGCGAGCATCATCAGCGTCAGCTGGACTTGCCTTCAATCATCTTCAACCTCTCTCTCTCTCTCTCTCTCTCTCTCTCTCTCTCTCTCTCTCTCCCATCTGCCGACTGTGAGCCCACAGCCCGCACAGCAGTTCGGCCCCCTTGATTGAACGGGTTTTGCCAGCCGCACAGGCGAGCATCATTAGTATCAGCTCGACTTCCCCTGAAGCTCGCCAAAACTATTCAATCACCCGGGTCGAACTATTACCCGTGCTCTGGGTACACCGGCCGTCACATGGAAGACATAGCTTGAAGGGAAGTCCAACTGATGCTGATGATGCTCGTCCGTGCGGATTTCTAAAACCATTCACTCACTGGGTTCACCGGCGGCAGACGGGAGAGAGAGTTTGAAGGGAAGTCCAGCTGATGTTGATGATGCCCGCCCGTGCGGCTCGCTCAGGCCATATTCAACCACTGGCAAAAAACTGCCAGACGTGCTCTAGGTTCACCGGCCGGCTGATGGAAGAGCGAGCTGGACTTCCCTTCAACCTCTCTCTCCCATCTGCTGGCCAAAGAACACGGAGCACACATAGACCGCACGGGCCAGCATCATCAGCATCAGCTGGACTTCCCTTCAAACTCTCTCTCCCTTCTGCCGGCCTGTGAACCCAAAGCAAGCATATCAGTTCGAGCCCCAGCGAGCCGAGCCGCAAGGGCGCGCATCATCAGCATCAGTGGACTCCTTCTCAAACTTTGAACCTACTCCAGGAACCCTGAATCCGAACCTGCAGCCCTAGCGGTGAAGTCTACAACTTCAAGCTGAAACGTCGAACCCGAAGCCAAAGGCAAACCGCCCGCAAACCTGGCCTCGCTTCAGCCTCACCTCCCGGGCGCCGATCACGGAGTAGGCAAGCTTGGGCATCAGCCCGGCGCCCTCGCACTGCTCCACAGCTCTATGGTAAAAAAAGGTCGAGTCAAAGCTCCCAGAACGTGTCGAGGATTCCGGATGCTTTTTGGGAGCCTAAGGATGTGGGGATGGTTTTGAAGGTGCGCGCCTGTTGCGACTAGATGACTAGAGGCTGAGGACCTGTTCTGAGTGGGGAATCTGCCTGAAGCCGACAGCTTGGAGTGTTTAACTCTTAACTTAACCGAAGCCGCCGGACTTCGAGAAGACAACCAAATCATCCTCCTGCACTTGCAAGCCTAGCACCACATACCAAGACAACTACAGAATGACAAACAACTGAAAGAGGCCATTGATTCTCAGCTTCCTCAATCATTTCGGGAATGACGGTCGCTGCGACTGGGTAGCAGAACCTCAGCTCAATACACGGTATGTGGACAGACAGCCCGACTTCTCGCTCTTGTGCTTGTCGCCTGAGAATCTCGTGTCGTGATTTAACATTTAATTTTCGTGCTTCTTGGAATTTTCAATCAAAGAAACTCCACCCTGCTCGGTGAATGCATTAGTCTTGGCGAAATAACCAGCAGGGTAGGGCCGGAGCCTTCTGCCTTTTGCCAACGGCCTCACGCGAAGCTGAGAAAACCCGAGCCCAATCCCAGCCAAGAAGTCCGAACTGCTGATTCAGCATGAGAAACCTTTAAATCATGACGAGCTTTGGCATCTAGTGCTGCCAAAACACGTTTCTCTGTGTCTGGCGATTTGAATCGTGGAGCTGATATAAATCTTACATATGTATATCTAAATCTATATAATATGGAGTTCAGCAGTCTCCTTGCTCACACTTCACAGGACAAGGCGCTCCATGTATTCCCGGAGCACGGCCCACAGCGAGTCCTGCTGAGAGTTCACTCGTGGATCGAATCTCTGTAACCCCTCCCCTACCCAGTCGTCAAGCTCGTCAGAGTTTAGATCGTTTCGCTAAAGTTCCAGAGCACCTGCGGAGGTCACAAGAACATGCCGGCGTTGATAAGGATTCTCAGATCCGGAGGAAGGACCAGTTCGTCGTCCTGATCCAGCTCCAAGCCATCTTCCTCCACACCTGCATCGGCCCAAGCGACATTTTCTGGGCTTGGCTCGGTGAGGTGACTTGCGGAATCGTCAATCCAGAAGCCTAGGCCGAGAAGCCCAGAAGTCACATTCTACCATGGATTTTCCTGCCTTCTGCCAGCTTCCGATCGAGAGTGTCGTGGTCCTTTCCATGCCACTTGGTGTAGATGTGCCTGTGCGGTTGAGCAGAGGCGACAGCAAACTCTTCGTGTCTTTGCGGAATCATCGTCGGACATGAAGAACAGAACCTAAACCCTCGCAGAAATCCCATGGAAAACGGATACCGTGCCCAGATGCTTCCACCGCATCGCACCGGCAGGTCTTTCGAAGCTTTCGGCCAGCCCTCCGCCACACAGGTAGAGCCTGAATTCCCCCCAGATTGTTTCATTCTGTAATCAACGTCCAACGTATGGTTATGGACACAAAAAAGTATCATATCACATTAAAATACTGTATCTGTTATTATTCCCCGCATCTCTCGCTCACGCAGGCAAGGCTCCACACAATGTCGTCACGCTAGGTTCCAGCTTTGCCCCATGTCATCAACACATACTCAACCCAATAATGAGGCAGTTCAAATGTAACAACAAACCAGACCACATCAATGACTATAGACGGATGGCATGCAAAGCTACAGGTGCGGTTTGGCACGGGTCGGTTGACCTTCAACCACTGTTTCAACATACTTCACAGCTCACCTCCGCTCCACTACACCAACCTGATTGCACAGGATGAATCTGCAACAGTTCTTTTATGCTCTTTTTTTCAATGAAGAATGCTGGAGTCACTATGTTTGGCTGCACACCTCCAGATGAAAAAATACCCCTCGGAAGCAAGACGACGCAGCAAAACAGCTCAAATCATCTAACTCAAACATTTCGGAGAATTCCCGCCACGGCTCAGAAGCTCTGCGCAAGTGGCCTGCGCCTCACGCTTGCTGGGTGCGGTGAGCATCGCCTCGACTTCTGGCGTTCTCGGAATGGTGCCCCAGAGCTCCGGAAGGATGCCCTGGAAGTGCTCGACTCCAACCATCTCAAGGCATGCCCAGTCCAGGTGTGTGTAGAGGACCTGCTTGTGTACGTCGTTGGGGAACTCCACGCCCGCATGCGAAGCATGAACGAAAAAAGAAATCGACTTGCTCTCGACCATGACGAACTCAGTCAAGCGAGTGAAATGCACACGAGGTGGAATGTTTGGATAAAGACGCACGCCGACTCCAACTTGGACATTCCCGTCCAGCGACCCATACATCTGTTCGGACAGGAGCAGCAGTTGGCGATTGCCAATGCGGATGTCAAGCTGGCGAAACGATCCTCGGGCGAAGTGGCTTGCGTTCATAGGGGGATGTGTGTGTGTGTGTGTCGGACCTTGACATCCACCAGGGTCTCGTTCTTCGCCCCTGTGATAATCATGTGCTCAAACCATTGCATATCTTTGTTGGGACCCTCAAAAGTGCTGGCCCACACGGTCATCTCGGGCGTCGTCAGCAAGGGCACGAACTGGTAGTTGGGCAACCAAAACTTGATCTTCTGGCCCTGGTACCAGGCGATCGGGGCCGTACGTAGCTGCGACCGCAGAAGCAGTCGTGCCGGTGACCGTAGTAGTGGTGCTGGTGGTGGTGACTGTGGCGGTGGCAGTGGTGGTGGTTATGTCGCATACAAAACCACCTAGATCTTCTTTGCCCCATGTCACCACGCTTCCATCGGTCTTCTTGGCGGCAAAGGCCCTGTCAGTCGCGTAGATCACGTCCACTCCCGCTGTGAGCTGGCTGGCCACACCACTGGAGTCACCACCATACGAGGAACCGCCCCATGTCACCACGCTTCCATCGGTCTTCTTGGCGCCAAAGGCCGCGCCAGTCACGTAGATCACGTCCACTCCCGCTGTGAGCTGGCTGGCCACACCACTGGAGTCACCACCAGACGAGGAATAGCCCCATGTCACCACGCTTCCATCGGTCTTCTTGGCGGCAAAGGCCGCGCCAGTCGCGTAGATCACGTCCACTCCCGCTGTGAGCTGGCTGGCCACACCACTGGAGTCACCACCATACGAGGAATCGCCCCATGTCACCACGCTTCCATCGGTCTTCTTGGCGGCAAAGGCCCGGGTAGTCGCGTAGATCACGTCCACTCCCGCTGTGAGCTGGCTGGCCACACCACTGGAGTCACCACCATACGAGGAATAGCCCCATGTCACCACGCTTCCATCGGTCTTCTTGGCGGCAAAGGCCGCGCCAGTCGCGTAGATCACGTCCACTCCCGCTGTGAGCTGGCTGGCCACACCACTGGAGTCACCACCATACGAGGAATCGCCCCATGTCACCACGCTTCCATCGGTCTTCTTGGCGGCAAAGGCCCGGGTAGCCGCGTAGATCACGTCCACTCCCGCTGTGAGCTGGCTGGCCACACCACTGGAGTCACCACCATACGAGGAATCGCCCCATGTCACCACGCTTCCATCGGTCTTCTTGGCGGCAAAGGCCCGGGTAGTCGCGTAGATCACGTCCACTCCCGCTGTGAGCTGGCTGGCCACACCACTGGAGTCACCACCATACGAGGAATAGCCCCATGTCACCACGCTTCCATCGGTCTTCTTGGCGGCAAAGGCCGCGCGAGTCGCGTAGATCACGTCCACTCCCGCTGTGAGCTGGCTGGCCACACCACTGGAGTCACCACCATACGAGGAAGCGCCCCATGTCACCACGCTTCCATCGGTCTTCTTGGCGGCAAAGGCCCCGTCAGTCGCCGCGTAGATCACGTCGACACCTTCGAGGCAAGCCGATGCTGCCAGCGACCAGGAAGCGATCAGCAGGGACAGCAATGACAGCAACAACCTCAAGCCCGCACGAACATCCTGCGCAAACAGCACCATGGCGAGCGACAAAGCTCCAACGCTCAAGGGTGTGAACAGTGATTTGCCTAGTCCTACGAATGAATGAATGAATGAATGAATGAATGAATGAATGAATGCCGTTTGTACCCCTCGCAGCCCTCGCAGCCCATGCATGTGCGACGCCACTCGGGCGCTTTAAGCGCCGGCCTAAACGGGTCTTGGACCCAAAAGCGGCAAGACACATCGACATCTGAGGCCATCGCACCTGGAAGAAATGCTTATTTATGCTTAGATAAGGAGGAGAAAACTTCAACAAGATCTTACAATCAGGATTGGAATCTTGCCACAGGGCCTTAGTCATTCTCGGAACCAGAGCATTTAGAGATGGAAAGACCGTGCAGCCTGGTCATCGAATACTGAGCCGAGCAACAGTCCATAAGCCACAGATCCACCTTCCATAGCCCTCGGATGCCATGAAGATAGTGATTTGAAGGATAACACCCTCAGCACTGCAATAGTCATGGGAATCATCATTCATCCAAGATCTGACCAGTATCCCAGTCCCCCTTCAGACAGTCAAGACGAGCTTGCCTTAAAACTGAACTGGCTCAAAACCGAAAGAACCAGGAATAATCTTAAAGTCCTCGCTATGCCGATCGATGTTACGTAACTCGCCAGAAGCATCGACCATTTCCTTCACATTCTCACGACTAGCATCTACGCAATCATCAACGCTCCGGTCATCGTGTCCTTTATGGAGGTCACTTCTATGATCATGCTCATCGTCACCGTCATAGTTGGCGATCATCGCCGCTACCGTCTCTACCGCAACGATTGTTAAGATGATGGCACTGTCTAATCCAAACCACAGCCGAACTGCGGACGAAGCGCATATGCGTTCGCAGTTGTGTGAAGAAGCATGCCCGTGCAGGCAGCGGTGACATTCTACGAAACTTAGGCAGCTGGGTATGTGGCATCCCGTGTCGACTGCTGTGCGCAGGGATTCAGAAGGGGGGACTGCAAGGAATGTGCGTCAGTCATCACACTCTTCATGACAGAACGCAGGCCCTCGAACCTTGCTTGACAAGATGCCTGTAAGAGCCACAGAACTTTGCGAAGGCCTTCTCCAGCAAAGCGACCCAGACCTCCCCCTCTGGGGTGACCTGGGAGGGCTCTTTTCTGAAGATAGAGCTTCGGTTCCTGGCTTCAGCTTTTCAATATCGACAGCTCTTGATGCTGCTCTGCTTCGACAAGCGGATTGAAGCCTCTGAGTCTCTTTTTGCATCAGGACTTGTGCAATCGCCTGAATGTTTTGAGGCTCTGAGAGGTAGAGCACCAGTGAGATATGATCGACAAGATTAGCCGGCCCGGGGAACCTCCGCTCAACCATCGCTCGTGATGCCGCACTGACTGCATGCCGGCACCAATGCCCAAAGTCCCTCAGGATGATCTGAAAGTGCCTTCAAGCTGAAAGAAGTGGGTTCAACCACCCCGTCCAAGTTCCACAGAAAGATTCTGCGGCTTCAGCTGAGTGACTCCGGCAGACATAGGGCCGCCCTTGAGTGTCGGGATGCGGTCATCGATCTCCACGAACCTGCTGCAGTCAAGCTTCCAGATCCGTCTGGGCTAAGGGTGCGCAAAGACAAGAAGCGGAGCCTCCCAAACCCTAACCCCTTTCTCTTAACCTAAACCCCTACACCCTGCACCCCTAAACCTTAAGAACCCAGATCCCCAGAACCCCTCAGCCCTCTTAGGGCCGCAGAGCGCCGAGCAGCTGAAACCGCTGCTTCCCCGGGTGGTAGAAGCGAACTGCGTAAGCGCCGTTGGCGGTGAGCGTAGTGTTCAGCCTTAGCAGGGCTTCACCAATTCCTTTGTTGTTGAGTGTCTAGGGTGTTGAAGTCTAGGTACTCAGCCCTGCAACTCCAAGTCCAGATCCATCCTTCCTGAATGCCTCCGACCCTATATCCCATTCGGGGGTTGGAAGGTCTCTTTTCTGGTGCCTCGAAGGGTAACTCTGAAGCACTCCTGTAAGATAATGTCTCGAACACCCGAAGCCCTTACAACCCTTGAGCCCTGACCCTTAACCTTAAATGCAGATCGAACCCTTACCGGTACTCTCCCAGGCCATCCGGTTGCCTGGCTTCTTAGTAAAGAGTCATAGCCAGAAGATTGGGTCATCAGAAAAGGTACTACATCCGACCGAGCAGATAACTGTGCCTCAAAAGCCTGCCAAGATGAAGCCAAAGATTCCGGAAGGCCGACACGATCCATGCCGGATACCTGTGAGCTGGCGATGTAAGCTGCTAGGTTTAGCTGGCTACTGCCTTAGGGATGGGGCTCAGGGTCTACAAGTTGTAAAGAATCATCGTTCTTGCACCCCTGATCCTGTAGAGGCCAACGATGTCGGGCTTCGGGCTTGGGGTTTGTGAGAAAACTGATGAGGGAATTCAAGGCTCTGCGGTTGAGGGTATGCGCCTGGCCGGACTCTGGCACGGGTTGAAGGGTGAACTGGCTTAACCGGCGTGGCAGGTTCGGGCTCAGCGACTTCAAGTTTGAAGCGGACAACTGAAGAATAGAGATGCTGAAGCCGTGAACCGAAGCAGCCTTTTCCGCTAAGCAAACATGTTGCCATGTTCCTAGCTTTCGTTCATGAAAACGCTTCAGGGAAACTGCTTGCCAGAATGGCTGCAAACAGAGCTTGAAATGGGAAGCACTAGATGCAATTCCACCTCAGCATGCGACAGAAGCGAAAAGTGACACTGCCCTTGCGCCAGTTCGAAGATTCGGCTTTCCCTTCAAGCACTCGATCGGCTACATACGAAGTCCGGTTCGCACTGAGATACAAGCTGGACGGCATCCAGCAACATATGTTGTTGCAAGACGCCTTGCACTGCAACACACAGCTCACATGGTTTTCAATGACACCGACACAGACAGACACCATGACATCACCAAGTTTGAACACTATAACCCCCCCAGGAAACTCTAAACTCTAATCCCTAAGCCCACTTACCTTTTCCAGCGGCCCTCTCTCGCCCGGAACCTAAACTCTGAACCAACACTGCAGAACCCAGAGACCCCAATATCCCTTAATTAAGGAATATTCCTTAAATTATGGTCGGATCCCTAATGTAAGTTAAGGAATATTCCTTAATTGAGGGATATTGGAGTCTCTGGGAACCCTAAACCGACAGGTGCTTCTGAGGCACTCTGCCACGCAAGCCATGGCTGAGAGAAACCAGGCATTCCCGGTCAAGGCATCGCCTTGGCTTATGCTATACTCGTGATTATCAAACACTGGACGGTTTCGATGTTAGTGACACTAAACATATTACAAGATTGGGCTTTCTCACTCTGCAATCCATGCGAGGCTTCAAGAAGATGAGCCCTTCAACTCACTTAGAAGCTTTCTGCATCAGCAGCAAGCTAAAGACAGCCCTGCGCGAAACCACAGACAAGACCATTGACTTCTGGTATAGACTTATAACAAAAACTGACACATCCTTCACAGTTCAGGTTCCGGCATGAGACTTCCCATTATCAAAAAAAATGCCTTTCACGTTCCAAATCTATCACACGCACAACGAGGCTCCAGTCTCCCCTCGTCCCTTGCAACAAACCTCCAGTGCCACAGTGGAACTGATGGCATCATCGGAGGTGACTCGGCAGAAAAGGTGTGCCTGCCCAACGGATGTCTAGAGTCTAGAGGGAACGAGTCCGTGCATCCTAAGTCCAAGCCCAGCAGCCCCACCGACTGCAAGTGGATTCAAGAATCCGTGACACTGCGGTTGGGAATGCAATCCTTCCCAAGCAGATGAGCTACTGCTGTCCGAATATGTCTGGCCTGGGGATGCATCAGCGACACCCGCCGCCAGTCGTCCCAGCCCTCGGCGCTGCCCACAGACTTCTCGGCTGCCGGGAAGTCTGGATCTTGCCAGACCTTCGGAGCTCTACAATACATGAATATGTCTACACCTGCACACGCATGTACGCACACGCATGTACCCTCTTCCTCCCCACAAGGAGACATGTATGTTACTGGACGTATGCTTGCAAGTCATGCCGCTTGCTTTGTCCGCACGCACGGATGGGTATCGACGTGAGCAACTATTGACATGTCAGCACTTTGCCGCAGACTTCGGTTTTACAAAATTCGGTGTTCGCTTCCTTCCTGTTGCTATTTATTCGTGTGCCATCTGGATGCCTTCAAATCTGTGCGGTCACCAGTCCCCGGCAAAAGCTCAATGCCTCGGCGAAGTCTTCGTCTGGCGCAGGCTCCTGTACAAGCCGGGATCGCTGTTCAGGCCCTCATCCGTGTGCACAACCGGAATCGCCGCCAGCCTCACCACCCTCGTACATCAGCTCGTATCCTTCGGCACCGAAGTCCTTCAGCACATGCATCGGAGGAGCCACCCGCATGCTGGCTTGAACGAGCATTCCGTACACATATGTTTTTATATGACCGGAGAAGGTGCATTCGCACAGAGAGAGAGAGAGAGAGAGAGAGAGAGAGAGAGAGAGAGAGAGACGGACGTGTAGCCAATCTAGTTCTGTGTTCGTTTGTGTGTGTCACGACTGCGCCTTGCTTCATTCACACAGAGCTATCGAATCGGCAGAAAGCGGGTACATTCCTCGTTCCAGGTGGGTCCTCCACGCCCTCGCCGGCTTCCTCTTGCCACTCATGCCTCACAAAACTGATGGTGCAATCATAGTCAATATCCCGGACCGACTACAGACCTGGAAAAGAGCATAATGCTGCTACACTAATACGATGGTCATACAATTGACAATAATGGTACTACATATGCAACTATTTTTGCCTTATAAGAATTATCTTCGTCTACATGATACGACACCACGCAAGGGAAAGAGCAGATGAGGCTCTCCCATTCGTCTTCCAGCGCATCATGCATGGACTCGTCTACCTGAAGGTTTAGGGTTTAGGGGTTAGGGGTTTAGGGTTTAGGGGTTTAGCGTTTAGGGTCTAGGGGTTTCGGCGCTCACACTCCCTAGGGGTTTAGGGTTTAGGAGCAGTCTTCGGATCCCGGGTCACTTTTGCAAGGCAGGGCTAAGGACTCAACAGTCTACTTGCTCACCCCGTCTTCAGGCTCCACTTACTGAAGCTTCCTTTGGGTACAACGGGCTAGCTGAAAGTAGGTCTGCTATGGTGTGCGAAAGTTTATCTGTATGGACAAATTCGTATGTCATTCATGCTTTTCACGTGTCCGTCGGCAACTGTGCCATTCCTTTCGATGTGGAGTGCGCCCAGAAGAAAGGCGGAAAATGCATACTCAGCGACATTCCGCCTAAGCAGATCCACAGGATGTCAAGTCAAGTGCGCCGGATCAAGTAGACTCCATCTTGTCTATGGCCTGGAATTGCTCGGGCACATGTCCGTCCCACAGCTCCACATCCAAGCACCTTGGACATGTTTAGGACATGATTCAACCCGCAATCCTTGGTAATGGGGGTCCCAGGTTGATAATTTGCGGGCTAAAGGTGTTGATACATAGAAAGTCGTCGCCGCTCTCAGCAGAGGCGGTCGTGCCCTTCACACCCTGCACCATCCGATCGAATGGCAGCAACCAACGTCAAAGTCGAAATCCAAAGTGGCGATCCCACACGTATGCATGCAGCTTTCACGGGGGGAGGGGCAGGGGGAATGTTGCTCCACTTCAGCCTCCTTTGCAAAGCGTACCCAACCGTCTTCATGTTTGAACCGAAGACTTTCACCACTCTACTCCCAGCTCGCCGTTCACCAAACTCGATGAAAGCCCTCCGCAGAAGAGCTGAACTTCTGAGAGCTTCTAGCTCCACGCCGAAGCACCGGCCCTCCTCCTCAGGGCTGGCATTCAACTCTTCTCCAGTTTATAGCTCAAGGGATCCGGTTCAGCTAGCGGTTTGAGGGCTTAGGCCTGGAGCTTCAGGGCATCGCTACAAGTAGGTCGAACCCTGCCGGCTGGGACTCGAAGACATCCACGCAAGGGTTACCAGGCTTCGGTTTGAGAACGGTGTTGGGGCTTCGGAGTTCCCCGATCATCTTACTGAGAAACCCAACCCCCAAAAAGTCAAAAAAGGCCGGGATGCACGGATATTATCATACACTTACACCCTATATGACACTATATAGCATCTCATACTGTTTCATTCTAAATTCTGACATATTAGACTCTGATAAAAAATCCTATTATGTTGTGGCCAGGCATAAGGTCGCCAAGATTCCGTCTCATCCCAGGCCTCGCGATTTTCTGCCATGCAGAAGAGTCGCTTGTCCTGACAAATCGCAGGAACCCGCGGTCATGGCAAAAACATGTAGATAGATAGATACTATAGATATAGCTCTATCTATAGTTAGAGTTAGAGATACAAACGTAGATGTACACATAGATACAGACAGCTATAGAAATAGATGCCGACAAGTCTTACAGAAGCTGGATTTCAGGTATCATGTATCGAACTCGGGGCGATTCCCTGCCGATGGGCGTTTGTATGCTTTTGTGCGAGCCAAATACAGCGGCTCCCCGACCTATCTATGGAGCCCCCCCTGAAACATGTCAGCTCCCCAGGGCTCTGTCCAGCTTCCCAGAGGGGTTCCGCCAAATGGCAGTGCAAAGGTGCGGTCCTCCAGGAATCCGGGAATGCCGGATGACAGGTAAGGATTTAGGGCTTCATGGGTAGAGCTCTGCTGAAGTTTGTCTGTTGGCTTGTGTAAACTGGAATCAAGTCATCCGAGGAGACCAACAACAGATTCAAATTCAGGGTTGGAGGGCAGGCCTGATGGATGTTCAACGACTCATGACTTTACGCGCTCGCAACTCGGACTCGCCAAGCGAGGTCTCTCGGTTCGTGTCGGACTTTAACATTTCTGGTTATGGGTTTCAGGTGCAGTTGCCAGTTTCCGCTTCTTTCCGGCGCCGGATGCCTGATGGTATGGGAAAGGGAGGACTTCCTGTTCCTGTTATTTGCATTGCCTTCAAGGGCGTCAAGTTACATCCCAATTGGAGAACCCCAGGTCATCCATTCAGAACGACACCCTCCCGACCATGGTTCCGACTTAACCCTTATTAGGCGGAAAATGCATTGATGCCCAGTTCTCCTGCTGCATGGCTGGAAGGATTGAAGATCCTCGGTCTCGCAACGTACTGTATGTGCAGGGTAGTCTACACAGCTTATGGCGCAAAGCTTAACGCTTCTTGTTATGAGGGTGTCGGGCTTAATTAATGGCTGCAGTTCGCACATTTTAGCACTCGTACTCGACGACGGCGTCAGGCCAAACAACAGCGCGCCAGTTCTGTAATCGTTGCGAGATTTGCAGCCCTGCATGTTACAGTCGGACTTCATAGACCTTGCAAATCCGATTTGCCCATTCTGGTAAAGAAGCGCCGCACGGTGCAACGTCGAACTTCCTTTCCTTGCAAATCTCCGCAGCGCTTTAGACAGCTTCGGAAACATAGTCGTACACGATGCCCCTGAGCTCCAGCCTCCCCTAAACCCTAAGACTGCAGGACACGTATGGCCCGTAAAACACTCAAAAATCCCTAAAAGTACCAGGAACCCCTAACAGCATCTGACAACCCTATAAAACATCCTCAACCCTAAAACACGCCCCTCAGGATTGTTGCCAGGCGGCTTGTAGCGTTTCACCGACCCGGACTTCGGAACCCTGGAGGCCACGAACCAACCTCGGGCTTTCTGCTCGGGTTGAGACGACCCAAAGAGGGCTCTCTGGAGGTATACGAGCTTTGGAGTTTATGGCTTTCTTAGGGTTACGGCCTTTGGAGCTAGTGGCCTTCATCGCGCTTGCGGAGGTTTCGTCTCTCACTGTGGCACAAGGGTAGGCAAGGCTCCACAGAAGTCAAACAAGTGAGAGCAGCTCCCAAACGGGCTTCTGGACTTTTGGGATTTCTGGGATTTTCGGTGATCCGGTTGCAACTGGTGGATTAGAGCCCTCAGACAGCTCCCGGCGAGGCGTCTCAAATTGGGAGGGAAGACAGTAGGGTTGGGCTTTGTTGCCGACCGCCTAGCTTGGTGGAATCGGAATGCAGGGTTGCTCTGGGACTGAAGACTTCGGCTTTTTACACAGGAAGCTGAAACTGACAGGCCTTGCTTCTTGCCATCCTCCGTCCAGCCGTAGAAGATGTAGGCCTGCTCGAGCTCGAACCGACGGCATGGCTTCTTTTACCAATTTAGGATAACACTCCTGCTGGAAAAGGTGGCTCGCCATGTACGGCTACATACTGCGATTCTAATCTCTCTCTCTCTCTCTCTCTCTCTCACACGGACTCAGTTGCCTGCGATTCTAATCACGCAGCTTAAATGGGTCTGCTTTTGATCGGTCGGGAAATGATGTGCTTCGAAAGTACTCGCAAAGAGCCTGATCGTCCAATCCTCGACAAAGCCACCAAAGCTAAAGGGTCGAACTTGAGCTGAACACCCCTCTCCCCGAACCAGCAAAGCTGTCATAGGTCACCAGTTAGTTAATCTGTCGACAAGTTCTTGAGAGCGCCGGCCTCCGGATACCCTCGCTCGTAGACGGGAAGGTCATTGAAGCTCCAGTCGGCCTTCCACCGGGTTTAAGGCTTACGGGTTTGGGGTTTAGCATTTCATTGGGCGAAAGCAAGCGGTGTCCAGGGCCCAGGGTCTACCGTTTCAAAGGTAACTGATGCCTTGGCACTCACTCACGGACTACATTGCGGTGCGCACTATCGAATAGCCAGCTGCGAGGGACATCTCTCTCCTGTTTTTCAGGAGTCTTCCAACCTCTGAATCCCATACTTACTTCTTCGTTGCTTGCTGCAACCCCAAGAAATCAATAAGATCCGTCAGTGCCGAAGAGACTGATGCCTGAACAGGCCGGCCAACAGAGGCACGGCCAAAAACTCTTATTTACGAAATTACGATGCGCAGCTTAGGCCAAGACAGGTTTGAGTTTGGAATTTGCGTTTTGGGGGTCTGCGGCTTTGGGTGTCAGCACTGAGGGGATAGATAACATCTTCTCTGGTTGGGGCTGAGATGTCGGAGTGACTTGAATGTCTGGGCTCGTGAAGGAATTTGATTCGATACCATACAAAGGAGACCACATTGTTTACTATAGATCCCTATAGCCTATTATGGAAAACTTAAACTAAATTCCTTAGCAAGCCCGTCGTCATCGTCTCGCCCTCCACAAACTCGTGTACATGCAAGGGTACCAGTAAGAGCAGCATCATCCAGGGTTCTTAGCGTTGTATCTCGAGCCTGTGCGTGCATGTGCATTTGAAAGGAGGTGATGAAGCAGCCAAGTAAGGCTGAAGCTGCTCCTTGGGTGGATATGTCGATATGTCCGGTACTTCAGAAGTCCAAACGACGCGACTCAAGAAAACCATGCATATTGCCTTGGAGAAACGACCGTTCCTGGGCGCAGCCGTCAAGGCTAGGGTTGTGTCTATGATCCGCCTGTGGGGAGTTCGGGTCCAGGGCGCCTTTGCCGAGGGACGTTACATAAAGGGCTGTCTGTGGGTGGCGAACTCTCAAAACTTCATCCAGGCGCCGTCTCGAAGCTATCCGTCTACGTTCATTTGACCATCGACTTGAGAGAAGCCTTGAAAATCCTGATTCTGAATCCGAAGCCCCAACATCCAACCCCAAAAGCAGGTGGTCATCTGCGAAGCCAAGCCCCCACCAAAAAGACTTGATCCCAAGACTGAGAAACTAGGTACACCCTTGCCTTGATCGGGTCTTCCTTTCTCCCTCGAAGCAAACGACCCCACCCCAAACCCCAAACCCCTAACCCCCCAAGCCTCGAAGCCCCGAACCTCGGAGAGAAACGCGAAGCTACGCTGTTTGCTGCGAGGCTTCAGGTCTTCGTGGAGAAACGCTCCGTGAAACCAAACACGGTCGACCTGTCGCGGCATTGCTTCAGGGTCAAGGGCGGAATTGCCCCGGATTCGTGTCTCAGTGTCTTTGGCTTGGGAAAACAAACAAAGGGAGTCTGAAGAGTTCTCGATGCAACTGGCGAAGCTGGTCCGGTAAATCTCGGCGAGTCAGAATGGCCCGATATCCATTCCACGAGCTAGCCAGTTTGACTCTTTCGAATCGGCCCTTCGGCTTTAAACACCCTGCAGCCCTAGCTGACGTGGCTCGGTAAGCGCAAGAGTGTGAAAGTATTGAAATGCGATAAAACCTAATGCTTCCACAAGGTTACTAGGCTTTGGTCTCTGGACTTCAAAGTAGTACTGCAGCGAAACCTCAGCCATGTGGGCTTCAGAGATCTTCTTCATCTCATCCACCTTCTTCCTGGGACAGCATTGAAAGATCGGTGTTACGTGTTTCGCCACATCCTTACCAATGTGTAATGGTGGAATTCCTTTGTATTCTCCCAGACGAGTTGAAACGACCTTGCCCTCACTCACCATGACATGCAGCGCAGGGTCAAGCCGTAGCGGTATTCTACTCCATGCTGCTCCATGTGACTGCGCCATACACCAGAAGGCTCGGCTTTACACTGCACTCTCTATATAGCTTCGGCCTCTACAACTTGAGACTGCATGAGACTGTACGATCCGGTTTGCACGATGTTGTATGCGGCCCCATGGTGTCTTGAAGTGCTTTCAGGTATATTCCATCACATGGTGCTTCTGTCGTCTTTAGATGGACTGCACTGCGCAATTTACCGGCGAGCGTGAAAGCATTGCTTTGCGTGACGCTCTGTGGTTCTACCCCGGCAATGTATCACTATCTGCGAAAGTATAGCAGCCAGTGCATGAGCTACCCACGGGCTGACATGGCACGGCCGGTGCGAGAGGCGAAATGCTGTACGCCCGGTCTCGGCATCATGTTTTGAAGTCTCACGTGTGGCCGTACCGTCACAGTGCGACGAGCTACATTATGGGAAGACATGCTACGGCAAACAGCAGTGTGTCATCTCCTAGCCCCGATGATCGCTGAATCGCAACTGAGGGTCTCCCAGAAGCTGAGCTCCTTCTTCGGCTGGAGTTGCCTATCGTAGACATAGTCGACAAACTCGTCGAAGGTTACCTGACTATCTGGGAGTTTCCGACATTTCGGGGACCCTAATATACTACCCTAAATAGGAGGATCCTTATCATGAATCAGAAGGACCCCCAAATAAGGGACCCCCAATTTTTTCGGCCAAATCCCACACCGCAGAGGTCCGCAAGGAGACACCAAGGCCCGGGGTCCGAACATTGTGAAGAAACGGCTATCGTCCTCTGTCACTCCTCAGACCCTTGGGGTCCCTTAAATAAGGGTTCAGGGTTTAGGGGCTTAGGGTTTAGGGTTTAGGGGCTTAGGGGCTTAGGGTTCATGCCACCTTTCAGCCCCTCTTCGAAACTTACTGGCCTCCAGGGGCTTGCACAGTCAGAGAGTCGGACTCAGGCTCTTGCGTACAAGCCTAGATGTGGTCTGCTCCTTCTGTGCGGCCACGGCGCCTTATCATCGTTCCTGCCGCACAAGGACCGACAAGAGTCAGCATGGCGAGCACAAAGACTGACAAAGACTCAAGAATTGCAATCAAGGTGTGACTCGCACAGGTTCGTAAGCCAGGCGAGACTGTGTTCAGAGCAGCCCTTGACTGGCATGCTCCCATAACCCTGTCCTGCTGATCTGGGTGAAGAGTATTGAAACTTCCTGCACGAAAGAACCGTGAAGCATCTTGCTGCTACTGCTCCTGCATGATATGTATAACGCACATCAGAAGCAGTTCTTGGCACGCCCCTCCCGGTCAAGTTACTTGCATCCTAGTTATTGCAGCACCACACGGCCGACCTGAGCTACTATTTCCCAGCTCCTCTTCTGTAAAAGTTGGGTTTCCCTTCTGCAGTAGCGCATGCAGCTCGCTCTTGTCCAGGAGCCCATCTCCTTGGCTCACAGCTTGGCTTGCCCCTCTTCTGGCACGAGGCCTCACCTTTCCGGTGATGACTCTCCTTAAAATTTCCTTAAGAGAATCTTCGCCAGGAGATCTCTGGAAATCAGGGAAAAATAAAGTCACGAAATCAACCTGAAGTATTCATGAATTTGTACATGCTCAATATATGAACCAACTCTTCCAGAATTGTCACAAGTATTTCAGAATATCTCCAGTTTTTCATGCTGTCACAATTGTCGTGTTTCAAACCCTCTCCGACGCCCGCACCCGGCAGGTCGGGGCACTAGCACACAACCTAGCCCGAACAGCACACACTGATGGCCGCGCCTCTTGGAGACAGGCTCAAACAGCAAACCGGCCACGTGTTTTCATGTATTTTTTGGACTGGAGACTTCCTCCCACCCACCCTCTTGTCCCCTCTTCACCTAGAACAGTATGAGATATATGAAAACAACATGAATATTGTCGGACGGAGGAACATGGGTTTTCAGGTCATATTCCTTTCCTTTTTCATATATATATATATATATATACACACATGTATATTTGTCAGCTTCTTAAGACTACCCATTACAAAACATCGGTTTCTGCTGAGATGACTGAACTTAGTAGTGCCAGAGGCTCGCAGGCAAACTGAAGCAAACCCATGTGACCCTTGAACCTTACCCTGTGGCACCGCTCACTAAGCCACCAGTGCTTCGGAGAGGCGGTTTGTGTCCAGCTTCCGGAATTGGCGCTTCAGCCGCTCGGCTGCCTCAAAGAGTTCCTAATCTCCTAAACCCTAAACCCTTTTGCATCTAGGCCTCTTGAAGTCTTGCCGGAAACCCTAACCCCAAAACCCTAAACCCAATAGTCTGGCTTCCCAGGGCCCTCCTTTTTGTTCCGAGCTTGGAAGACAAAGAAAGCGCTCTACGAACGACGCAGACGCAGCCAACAACGCCTAACTGCGAGCCGCATGTCACAACGTAGAGCGAATCCGGATGAACAGAAGGACGTACGCAAGAGCGCCGTTAAGCCTGACTCAACGATTGCAGATGCGTCTTTATACACAAGACCGGCCAGAAGTATGAATGTACACAAATGTGTAAATTATTCCCACACACACACATACACACAAACACACAAACAACCACTCTCACACAATGCAGGTAAGCCGCATAAGCGAGTATGTGTGTTCCATGTGTCCATCTCTTTGCACAACGTAAACCTTCGCAACATGACATCGCATGTCATGCTGCAAATCCCTGCTACAGCAAAGGCATGCAGTGGCGCATGGAATGCGAGCAGTCGACACACGACGAAACTTGGTGTTAGCAATAAGTTCGATCAGAACACAACAGCACAAGCTACACACAAACTTCAATGGCTAGAACGGTCAGAACAGCAAAGGACGAGACGAGCACGGAGCTAATATTTGTCTATAGCATAAACCGTGTAACCCCCCAACTCCTGTCTGATTATTCAGGCCTCTAGGTTAATTTCGTAGATATTATTACTAATTACTACAACATATGATGATAAACATCAAGACGGCATGCAAGGTCGCCAAACGAATGAGATGTAGCTGGCTTGCAAACCGAGCCCGTCTCCACAAAACACTGTAGCCAAACACACACACACACACACACACAGAGAGAAATTGCTGAAAGGCTTTTCTGCAGGCTGTACCAGTGCGGTAGACCCAAACAAAAAACACGAACACCCCAGAAACCTAAAGAATACCCAGGCGTTTTAGGCCTCCTCTTTGTCCATAGCGTAGCGAGCAGGTGAAGCTACCTATATGTGTAGGATTCCTTCCACGTAGTGTCTGTCAACCCATATGCCGAATCTGTTGTTGGGCTGATCACAAGAGACTCATCAACGACTAGCTACTGCTCCATAGGCCTGCGCTGATGACGCGCAAAGACTGAGATAAGTATGCGGTTGGCTTCGTCAAACACGCTTGAGCCTTGCGGGTGCGGATCTGTGGCCGAAACAACAGTGCTCCCTGCAGCGATTCGGACTGGTGACTGGGTGTTGTTGCTTGCAGCACGACCTGCTAACAACCTCCAACGGCTCCAAAGCCACAACTGCAACTCGTGAAGCCCTGAGGGTGAAGGCGTCTTGGCTTGAAAAGAAAGCTAATCGACCAGAGCATCACATCACAATCACATCCCAAATCTTTCGGGCCTGCCTGCGCAGGGCCGCTGCCGCAAACGGACTTGAGGATGACCTTGGCTCTTAAAGCGAAGGGGGGAGGGGAGGGAAGGAGAAGCAGCTCCACACTGAAGTCACTAAAGTTAAACCTGGGATAACTCGGACAGGATAGAAAAAAACACACCTCACCACAGAGCCACGGAGAGAAAGAGCTCACACGCACATCATCTGACCCACCCGTCTTGTCGAATTTCTCGGCTTCCCATCTGAGAATAAAAGCCAGCCGTACCTAGGCCGAAAATGCCCCAACAGTGAGAAGCAGGCCCCCAGACCCCGACAAGACCCAGTATTTTGAAATCTCGGAGCATGTGAACAAGCCAGCGTCAGAGTAGATAGAGCTCATGGCCTGGTAGCCCTAAGAGTAGCGTGTTCTCCCGTGTCGAAAAATCCTATGCTCGAACCCCTCCACTGACCTTGCGAAACCTGGGGCACCCCACATCCTTTTTACCGTCGGCACCCAGGACGGAGAGCTCACTGCTGGGTTTCAGCTCGCCCTGCTTGGCTTCCAGGTATGATGTATTTGGGCTGACATGTTCATCACAGTCTGGGGGTGAAGTGTAGGTCCGGTACCAGCTTATGCATGCCCTTCTAAACGGCGTGGCTGGGGTCTACAGGTTTGACAAGCCGTGGGATGCACTGGCAATAGATTAAACTCTTCAAGCTTCTGGTTAGGTCCTGGAGTTCAGGGCTTCCTTCGTGCAAATACATTATTTACATGTATGCAGGCATGCATGTACAGAATAGAGCTTCTACCAGTTTGAGGTTCATGAGTCAACTGAGCAAAGAGGTGGAATATTCTTTGGGCGCTCGATACTCATTGACGGATCGCTTGATCAAATGCTTGTGCCCTCGCCAGGCTCGTTCTTCGCGAGAGTGTACATGCTGTACATTGTGTGGGCTGCTTCTTGTCTGTAGCTGGGAAGTACTAGCAGTAACAGCTGCAGTATAGTCTGCCACTGCGGACGGAAAACTGGATCTAATTCAGGGCCCTCAGTAATTGGAATGGAGTTTTAGAGTACATTATGCTGTAGGTACGTAGGGACTATACAAATTACAAGCAATCAGTAACTTCCGACCGCTGTGTAAGCACCATTGCTCTAGCCAATCTTGTGAATGCTTCTATCGGGGCCTTCGGGCTCCAAGCTCGAAGCCACCTGAAACTCCTGGAGTATGTGGCGCAGGCCGCGCCGAAAAAGTCCGGTCGGAACTTCTCGGAAATCAGCTTCGGTACGTAATTCCGGCTTGCAGGCTTCGTTTGGCCTGCGACTTCGGAGTGTAGGATACAATGCCGGCACAAAAGTAGCTTTTCGTTTCAATTTTTTTTGCAGGGCCGGCAGCTAGAGCTTGCAGTACTCCGGGCAGCATGCAGACAAGTGGCCGAGTAGGTGACATGCGCCTGCAGAATAAATGGCTACGAAGTCCAGGTTTAGACTTCGGGCAGCTGCAACCGTCCCGAAGGCATCTGTTACACATCCCGAACAGCTGGCAATACTCTCACTACCCTTGACCATATTCTTCGCACGCGAGCTCAGGTTGCGCAGCGACAAGGACAGGGTCCGACGGTAATGTTAACTTCATTCATCAAGAACCACGTCCATCAAAGCACAACTCGAGTCCGGAAACTCAATTATCAAACCCCCTAGCCCCTTCAGCCAAAAAAAACTCGACCCCGAAAACGCAATAATGATCTCGTCCTACTACTGTACTACCGTGCCATTGTAGCATTGTACTACTGCGCCACTGTACCCCCCCAGGCAGTCAAACCAACCACCCGGCCGAGGCTTAAAATCAACCGAAGGGGGAGAGCGGGGGTTATCTGGGTTGTAGTTGTGGGGTTCTGAAAGTAGTTATGAATAGGTACCTCTATAGGAACCATAAGGGAAATTAACAAGTTTCCCAAAGTGCCACCTAGTTATTGAAATTAAGTGAACATGACAAGAACCCACCCCCTCCTACACGCTGCCCAATTCCTGCAGCTGATGCCTAGCCCACAGCCAACCCCAAGATTTGTAGAAGCCAGGATTATCCCGATGTTATAAACTTTTCTGCGACATTCCGAAGATGCAAGTTGTTAGACCAGACTCAGCAGAAGACCCTCGACTTGGGAAATCTGAGAAACAACTTACACTTGCGCATGTTTGGATCAGGTTCTGTGTGCTCACGTTCCACGATGTTCCATGTTTCTGTTCGCAACGGCTTGCTCGACATAAGTCTCACCCACAGTCGTCCCTGACAACACAGCGCGTGCCCGACGGCATTCCTGAACCCGGCAATGCCCAAACATCCAAATATCAAATCCCGAAACATACACCCAAGGAGTACTTCCATGCCTCTGACAGCCTTGGGGGGACGCGAAACCCCAAACGCCGGGTACTCTGCGTCGAGGCGCCTCGGGCAGAAGCACCGGTGCTACCGCCGCAGAGCCGCTGATGAACCAAAGGATGACCTTGGAGCTCAGCCTTTAGGGAGATTTCCGGATTACTCTAAAGGCTTACCATAGCGGTGACTGTAAGGGTTAGGATAAGGGTGGCTTCAAGGGCTGTCACATTTAGGAAGCTTGCCTTCATAGGCGGGCTCAGGGCTGGTATTTGGGGGGTAAAGTCTGCGTTTCACGTCAATGTGGGCTTCGGCCATCATAACCAGCGAGACTTCCAGCTACAAAACCGTCCAGGGGTCACGCGGCAGTTGAAGCTTGCAATAGGCCCGGAGAGGTTTGAGGTGGGAGCAGGACCCTGAAGTAGTGTTGAGATCTGACTAGTATGACTAGTCTAGTTGCCACTGGTGACTGAGTGGAGAAACCGCTCTTTGGACTCAGCACTTGTGGCTTGATAATGGACGTGCTAGTCGGAAGACTCTCCACAGTCGGGGACTGCGCATCACTAAAGTCTGTCACGGTTCGAAACCCCAAGCACACACCCTGGACTGCACCCTAAGGTCAGAGCTCAATGCATGGCCAATAATAGTGAATAGTGTTCTGTGACCAACATAACGTACTAACTCATGAATGCCAAATTTCGTCACGTAAGCACTACCGCCGTCGGGCAGAAATCGATTCGAAGCGCTATGTGTTGCCCTCGGCCTCCGGCGGAGGACATCGCACGAACCTGCACCCGACGGTTTAGAACGGTTTGCAGTTGTTCGGCACGTGAGGTCTGTTGCCACCCTACGCCAGATTTCAGAGTCAAATTATCGACTCCGAAGATAGGGCGTCTGATTTGGAACCAGCTCTAGCTCTTCAGGCCGAGTTGGACAAGGAGAAGCACGCATCCGAAATCGGGAGTAGTGGGGGGGCCTTGCTGTTGAGCACCTCGGTAAACTCCTCCAGGTTGCCCATGACGGCTTCCATGATCTGACAAACGAAAGAAGGGGATAGAGTAGAAAGCCGCCATTCCTGATTTCGACCGGCCTGCTTGACCTGGCAAACTGATCATGACAATGCGCAATACACGAATGCTGCTACGGCTACGGGGACTACCGCCCGACTATGCTCCACTTACTCCTACTCCTAGCCTTGCTCTTCCTTCTTCGACTCCGACTCCGCACACCGCTACCACTACCACTACCACGACGACGACTGCTACTCCGACCCTTCTGCCACTGCTACGGCTACGGCTAATGCTACCGCTACCACCACCACTGGCCTGCTTGGTGTCCTTGCCCTCCAGCCTGACACCTGGCACTTCTCGGCGGGGACGCTGGAGCCGGGTGCGGTTTTGGAGAAAAGGCACGAATGAAAAAGAAGAAAGGTCAATGACAAACAAAACGCTTCAAAACAGCAGACATTGCAGAGCCCATCCCGGTCAAACCAAATGCGGCATTGCACTACTTGGACGGGTGTATGCGTTGCCTCTGATCCCTGTGCCAATCGGGATCATGGGCACTCTGCACACCCATCCAGAGTAACCTTGACCTCGTACGAGTGGTGTGATGCTACACGTACCTGCCTTGGAGCCAGCAAAGCTGATCATGAGGCACCATCTTGGCACCCCAAATTTCAGCTTGTGGTCATGATAGACTAACATGCGAAGGGGTCAGGAAGCTCATGGGTCACTCTGCGCGCCTCCAATCATGCCAATGACCTTTGACAGGGCCTCGCGCGATGGCCCTGAGAACCTGCGGCAGGCTCAAAAAAGGAAGCCCATCCGTCTGAAGAACGAGAACCTATGGTCGCCTTGCCCCACACAACACCTGCTGGCAGCACCAAATCGTTCTACATCTATGCGACTGGGTGAGTAGGGACTTCGCGAGAAAGTATGTGTATGCTTTCGTCTGCGCATGTATGCGCGTGTATGCCGACCTATGTCCGTGTAGGCATGCGCACATACGTTTGTGAACGTGGACGTGTGTGTATTGGGTGCTGCCCCTCACAGTGTATAAGGGGTCATATTAAAAGCTATATATATATATGCACATGTTTCAACTTTGTTACAGGGGCAATATCCAATCTATGTACGTGTATGAGTGCATGTACGTGTGTATATGAGTACTTTTGCACATGCCTCTGTATGTGTGTACATATGTATGTATTTCATCTGTAGACTATTTGTAGATACCCACGCACAAAGAAATTGTGTGCGTGTGTGTGTACATTGATTTGTACGTCTGGACGTGGTTGCACATGTGTAATTCTACGTGTGTGTGTGTATGTAGAGACAGAGACAGAAACAGCGAGACAGAGAGAGAGAGAGAACGAATGAAAGGAAGAACGAACGAATGAACTCAAGAAATTGAGAGCGAGACGATATGTAGACGGAGAAAGGAGTGCGAGAATTGTCCGCTCGATTGATGGGCTCACTATAGCTCACTCTTGCTCTAAACAACCGGGGGCGGAGCTAGACCCTAAACCCAAGCCCCCTTGTAGAAGCCCTATTGGCCCTAAACTTACCTTTGGTTAGTAGGGAATGGATGAATGGGGTACAACCATAACTACTATTACTACCATTCTTCCATTCCCTGCTAGCCAAAGGCAAGTCTCTCCATTATAATAAGGAACCCCCAAGATGGTATTGGTTATTATTTAGGCTCCTATATTACTGGCGCTAAGCAACTCCAATGCAAGACGCGAAGCAACGGTATAGGGGGTTTTAGGGTTTAGGACCCTAAACCCTAAACCCGAAGCAGTCGGCCGAGCCACGTTTTCGGGAGATCGAGGTACCAGCCGGGCTGTACACCCGCGGCCTCGCCGGCGGCATGCTCGACGAATGTAAGTCTGACAAAATAAATAAAAACAGTATCAGATGTAATATAGTACAATACCACAATATTATATTTAAGTACAATACCACAGTATTGTATAATATAGTACAATACCACAGTATCATATAACATAGTACAAAACCACAGTATCATATAGTCGATTACACGAAATAATACAATACAGCTGTTCAGGTTGTTATCTTGCGAAAGAGAACCTGATGCTCGGGACATGGGTTGGTTCGGGTTTAGGCTTGGGACAGATCGGTACAGTTTGCAATTTAGTGTTGGGGAAGCTTTCTCTAAACTCTTGATGTCATTGTCGCAGGGCCTAAGTCTAAGCCATTCAATCATTTCGACTAGTACCAGATCATAATTGGTATTCGTATTCTACTACTACTACTGCTACTACTACTACCACTACTACTACTGCTGCTACTACTAGTGATAATGGCAATACTACTACTACTACTACTACTACCACCACTACTTAGGCTATTTTATTTTTAGTATCTTGTTGTTACTAGAACCTTAACCTTTCAAGCCCAGAATGAGTTGGCCTTTGCCGGTCCGGACTCCTCGCTCAGCTCGGCAATGGAAATGGGAGTCAATGGACATGTCCTGGGTTTAGGGTTTAGGGTTTAGGGTTTTGGGTTTAGGGGTTTAGGGGTTTAGTGTTTTGGGTTTAGGGTTTAGGGTTTAGGGGTTTAGGGGTTTAGGGGTTTAGGGTTTAGGGTTTTTTGCTGCTGCTGGCTCCGGGGCCCTACGGTTTTCGGCATACAGTGGCGACTACCCGGTCACAGACTTGACTTCTGAAGCAGCTGATACGAAAAGTTGTGAAGTCTCCGGTCAAGGCTGCCCTGGCATGGAAACGGAGACCATCCTGCCGCCAATGCAACCTTCACCCAGCCCCCGATGATAGTTCCCAGAAACCGAAAAGCCTCAAAGAAGCCCCGGCCTGTCGAGTCTGAATGCCAGCAGCTCATCGCCAATCTTGGCAGAGAAGCCCTGTTCATCGAACTTGGGGCCCTGCCACGTCGCTGAATTCAGACATCTCAACCACAACATAAAGCAACTGAGCCATTTGGTCCATGCACATCCACAGAGTTTGCACATGTATATGTCGGCATGTGTGACAATCTTGGCCCTGGTATGTCTATGTGTGTAAAAACGGTTACATACATACACCTATGTATGTGTGTATACATACATACATACATACATACATACATACATACACACATACACACACATACACACACATACACACACATACACACACATACACACATACACACATACACACATACACACATACACACACATACACATACATACATACATACATACATACATACATACATACATACAAACATACATACATACATACATACATACATGTGTGTATACATATGAATATATACATATGTCTTGCAGCATAGGGCTTTTGTTCTGAAGCTCTAATTACACTCAGTAGCGGCAGCAAGCACATGGAGAGCGATACTGTGTGTCCCCCTGCACTTTTCGCTCCTACTTGGCAAGGACGAAGCCCGCATTGCAGGGTACTTGGTTGAACAGAGTTTGGCTTGCATGGGCAAGTGGGTTGCGGTCGAAGGTCATCATCCCTCCGGATCAATAGGGCAGGGAATCTTAATGCGAAGCAGCTCAATCTTGGTACACAGGGGTCGGGAAGGAACCCAAATAACTTCGACTCTTTCAACGTGCGCGGCATCTGCGACGTCGGCGACGAGGGTGTGGACTTGGCAACGGGGAGCCGATCGCGACCTTTGCCAGGGCTGGGTGGCTGAGACCGGGGTCGATCCGATCGAGTCCCGGGACTCACCGATCTGTCCGGCTTTAAGGGTGCCAAGACACTCAACAGAGCACCAGACCACTGTTGCAAGTTCTCATTGTCACCAACATGGATTCCTACTTTCTTGCCACCGAGATCGACAATTAAGCCGCCGCTGATGGTCTCCAGACCTCGAACTTTTGACATCAGGATGCGGCTGTCCTCCTTCATTCCGCAGCTGGCACTGGAAGCGCTGCACCAACTGTCGAGCCTGTCCCTGAAGAGGATGCTGAGACGGACCACCAAGCGCTGTTGATGCTGGAAGCCGAGAAGGCCCCAGTGGATCACCTTCTCTGGCAGCGCCTGCAGCCAGTGCTGGAAGCGCTCGTCCTGAACCTCTGCTGCAAGTTCGCTACGTTCCATCTTCGATCTTTCACCACCCTTCAAGAAGGCACCATGCTTGTACAAGACTAAAAGCTCGTCCATGTTTGGAGGGCTATGGCCAGCGTCGTTCTGCGGATGGAAGAGGAGCTGAAAGGCTGAAACCCAGAGTTCCATGTCCTCGCCAACTGGGACTTGAACATGCAGACTATCCTGCCGAAGCTTGAAGATAAAAGCACCCTCAGTGACCCGCACGGAGGTTACGTCCGTTGCATGTACCACTCCGCCCAAAGAGTCTGATTTTCGGAGAGCCGAAACTGCATCCGTGAAATGCTCGAAGCGATCGCTATACACTAGGACGTAGCGCATCTGCTCCGATCCATCCTCTTGTACAAGTTTCAAAGGGCCCTGGTGCATTGGCTTTGCACTCGCACCAGGCTTGGGCAGCCGTGGCGGCGAGTCTGTGGGATCTCTAATGTTCACCCACTCTACCGTCTTGCCCTTTACATGCTTGGTGAAGCTTGCCCCCAGAGCTTCTGAAAGGCTCGACTGCCACAGCTCGAAAGCACGTCTACACCGCATCTCCAGGAGCCCGCTGGTGGCCTGGATCTCAAAGACTCCGTTGCTGGCCTTGACTGCCTGCATCTCACGCAGCTGGACGGTTGTGTCCGGATCCGCATAGACGATGTCCTCCGAGGTTTCGAAGAAAGCCAGCCGATCGGCATAGAGCACCCCGTGTCTTCCGTCTCCATCGAGCTCAACGGGACCTGAAAACAAAGATCGATTTCTTGTAGCCCTGCTGGGGGAGCTTGGCTTTTCTTCCGGCTTCTCCATAGCCTGACAGATGGTTTCTTGCTGCGGAGGCCCTTCGCGACGGAGAGCGCCGTGGCCCTGGCACCTGTCACGTACTTTGGATGCGGCAGTGGCGGGGTCTGCTTCCGTGACACTGAGGGCCCTAAGCCACTCCTCCCATGTAATACCACCTTCAGTCGGGTCCAATGAGAGCAGGAAGTACTCAACTTGAGTATCAGTGAGGCCGATTCCCAAGTCCTTCAGCGCTTTGGCTAGGTCCTCCGGCCTGACTTGTTGCGTGTTCTGCCGAAGTGCTGTGTGAAGGTCGAGCGCATTTTGGACCATTTGCCCGTTCACCATGCAGGCCTTAAAAGTAGTGTTTACCGTCTTCACGAAATTCAACAGCTCGTTGGCGATCTGGGCAGCGCTGTCTTCTGTAGAGACTGTGACCTTCGGGTGGTCGTCATCTTCTGCCGAAGAGGGCGTCTCTTCGAAAACATGCTCGAGTTCTCGGCGCCACTCCTCCATCGTCTTTCCCTGAGGGGAGAACAGCTCAAAAGTCCTTGACGGGTCTGCGAGACGCACGATCAAGACATCCTCCTTGACCTCCAAGTCTTCGATCTCGTCCATCAAGGCACTCACATCTGGCACCTCGTCCTCGGAAGGCACACGCTCTCTGCCTCGGAAAAATTCCAGGCGATCCTCGCGCAGTACCAGCAGGCCAAAGGACGCTGCCTGATGGGGGCCCTTTCGGAGGTTGAATCCGCCCGACGTTACTACTGGCGGCTTCGGCACGGGTCGAGGCTTCCCTGAAGCTGGCAACGGCTCTTCAGGATCGGTCTCCCAGGCCGTCTGCCAACGACGGAGATCCTCCGTGTTGTGGGCTTTGAAAGACCATTTCTTCTTGCCCAGTTCCACTTCCATCGTCCCGTCCTCCAAAACATCGAAGGAGGTGATGTCTTCGATCAGCGCACGCGCTCGTGCAGCAACGCCTGTTTGGTAATCTTCCTTGCTGTTAAAATACTGGAAGCAGTCCGTGCGCAAAACACAATACCTTGGATCCTCTCTGTCATTCTTGAGAGCAAGGAGTTCGCCTTCGCACAAGAGCTTCGGTGCTTCTCGTGGCAGAGTTTCGCCACTGACGCTCGCACTTGCATGGCCTAGGGCCGCTTCTCCACTCGTCACCAAGTTTTCTCCCAAGCGCTGCGCAAGCAACTTCTCCAGAGCGCCCTGCCACTGCACAAACTCCTTGGCGCTGTCTACCTGGAACTCTAAGGGCTTCTTCTGGTCCTTCACTTCCAGCGTCAGGCGGCGATCCCTGACTGTCACTCTTTCAATGTCTGTCAGAGGCATGGCTCGGGGCTCCTGCCCCTTCTCGAAGTCCGCAGCCGTGTCATAGCGTTCGAGGCTGTTCTCCCTTAGAACGAAGAAGGGCGTTTTGGCCAGGCCCTTGCGCTCCACAGTCAGGTACCCGGAGCAGATGATCCTCGCCTTAAACTGGCCCCCACTTGCTTTGATCAGGGGCCTCAGGGAGGAGAGCCAGAACTCAAGGGACTCCTCCGGAGTCTTCAGCTTTAGGCCCTGACCTCCTTTCAAGATCAGGGAGAAGCCGTCCTCCTGAACTTCCAGCTTCTCCACTTCCTTTAAGGTCATGCGACCCCTCGGCTCGGATCTCTCATAAAAGTCGGCCTCTGTGGTGAAGTAGTCCAAACTCTCCTTAGACAGAGCGAAATACCGGGACTCGACTCCCGTCTTCTTCTGCACGCCCAGGGTCTCTTGGCGGATGACCTCTGGATGAGCCATGCTCGTGATTTCTCCACTTCCGTGGACACGACTCGTCCAGGGTCAAGAGAGTTGAGCCGTAGTCACAGTCGGATTCAGGTGCAGAGGTTAAGCCTTTCTTGTCTTGGGTTTTTCATTCTTCACCTGGAATTATAGGTGCTTCCGGAATTTTCGGTAAACGCGGCTCACTGCAAGTTGTTCATGCTCTGGCACTGGCGGGCCCACTCAAGACAGTCTCAAAGATCTTAGTTTCGCAAGAGCTTCGGGTCAAGGGCTCGGGAGGGTCCAGGGTTTTGGTGCAAGGGCAGGAGCCCTACGACTATTCTTACTACCGCGATTATTCCCATTATTGTTACTACTCGTACAATTATGTTGGTCATAAGAATAATGGTGATAATGGTATTGGTACTGCGATTATTTGGCAAGGCATTCGGCCCTCACAACCAGCTCCAGAAGCCTCTTGCATCTGGTAGCGGACCTGCACCCGGGAGGGAACCTCCAAATGCGGATGCCGCACATCAGGGGTGTAGCGGCGCGGAGTTCCAGGGCTCGTTTTCAGGGGCTTCACGCTCAAACAGGGATGCATGGATGAATTGAAACCGTCTGAGCTTCACGTCGTGGAGGCGTAGTGCGGCGATTGCTGCTAAAGAGTTCTGGACCTGATGAAGCTGTTACAGTACAGATGCCAAGCAATGATACACTCGGCAGTATGAACACGAAAAGAGAAGTGCGGATGCTGCCGTTGCAGCTGCAGCAATTTCCTGCTGACGGTGGTGGTGATGCGGAAAATACCGAAAATGCCGGGTGGTAGGCTGCTCAGAAGAGGACACGCGGACGAGAACATAAAAGGCCAATGACGCTGACAGTCGACAATTCTAAACATAGCAACAACGAAAAGGGGCCAGGAGCAAAGTCATCGTCATTGACCTCCAAGTCACCACCAACATACATGTACAAACCCAGCAAAACAAACAGCACCAACAGCACTGGCACGGTATGTTGCAGCAATATCAGCACGATGCATATCCAGTCACCCGTGCCAGCAGGAGGAATCACTCCCATCTCACCGTACCCATAGACGTACCTACCGGTGGCAACAAGACTTGAGAAAGAACATGACGATGGCAACACACTGCTGCGACAAGAAGGCTGCACAAGCGTTGAAAAAAAGATGCGCTACCTCTCCCAATAGGCTTGCTGAGCTTATGATGCAGCGGGATATTGACGCAGATATTGGTGGGATGAACAACATTCAAAGAACTACCAGGTGCACGTATGACTGCGGCAAGTAACACTGCACCAACACCAACATGTTCAGCATCATTTTTCAACAAATAAGTGGTAGGAGTACGATTCAGGACAACTGCTCAGGACCGTCGCGGCAATGGTCACAAGTGGAACTTCCGGAATTTGCCAATGATTCACCGCTGCAGTGCCTCAACAAAAGAAACCCGAATAGGTGAGCCGCCAACATTAGCCTCTGAACCACGTTGTGTGTTCCCACGCATCGGTGAACCTCCTTGCAGAACGCAAAGCACTTCACCTCAATGTCCTGCATTGGTCTGAGGTGCAAACAAGCTGGGGGGGTAGGGGTCCATGTCAAGGGCTTAAACTAGAAGTTAAACTATTGTCAATCACATTCAGTCTGCAATCCAAGGGTTCGCCCAAGGTCCGCGCTAAAACACAAAGCTCCAGCACATCTACATCCTCTGCACATCCTTGCAATATACATGTAGGTTAAGTTTACCTACATGAAAAAATACGTGCCATGAAACATGAACACAATAAAATCATATGACATAGTACACTATTGTAATTTTAATTAATACTACGGTATGATAAAGTATGATCTGATCTGAAATGGTATGATATGGTGGAATATAAAACATTATCTTATATCATATGGCATAATTTGATATAATTTTTGCCTCCTGCATGGCTGAATGGAATACAATGTAAATTCATATACTCTATCATACAATACTGTGTTACCATATCACCTATTGTAGTATAATATGGCAATGAAATATACTGTATGATAACCTTATCTGGTCTACTATATATAATCTGAATTGCAACCTAGGAACATCAAGTATATTCTAGCGTAGTATTGTCTGGTATAGTAAAGTACAGTCTGAGCATGATACAATACTTTCTACGTGTTCTACTATGGTACAATATACGTGTCTGTATTAAATATGGAAACGAACGTAAACAAGCATGCAGAAAATTAATACAAATATAAACACAACAGTACGTATCATAAACACACATATGTGTGTGGGTGCATGTGCATGTGCGGGTTCAGGTGGTTACGTTTGCACTACTTAACAGCAATGCTGACCATAGTAGCAGCGGAAGAATTAGCCATCACGGTAGTGGCGGTGGTGGTGGTAGCTGGTAACTGGTGCCTTCAGCTGTTGCAAGAATCGTTCCTGTAGTGTTCACACAAGACTGTGCTTGAAATGCCCTACTCTGCACTATGCATTGCTCGTGCTCATTCAACACCCCTTCATCGAAACATCAGGAACTCAGCACTTCATTTCGACCTCCGGTGCTGCTTTCCGATAGACGTCCACCTCGGCGTGCGGTTCCAGATCTACGCAGCCAGCAGCACATGAGAAATTTCTGTCTGGCATATAGCGGGTATACGGGGTTCTGGCTAGTTCTCTCGGCAGGATGTCCAGCATCGCCCGGTTTTAGGATGTTCTAGGTGCGTGTGATGAGGTTTGAGTGCTGCATGTGGCCCGAAAGGGCCAGAAGTTTCATGGTTCCCTGAACCCTAAACCCCTGAAGCCCGTTCCTTTGCATCAGGACGTGTGCAATCGCCCCCTAAGCCCCTGGACCCCTTAAACCCTAAACCCAGCGCTGCGCGCAACGGTTCCCAGTGCCTGAGGCCTGGAGCTGCCTGTCGACAAAACAAGACTGGACAGTAATGATTACCGTAAAGTACTACATAACAGTATAATTATAACTATTCAATAACATGGTTACATAGCTAAATGGTAATATAAGCGGTAGCATAACAACATACATCACTTAAATTCACTTAATGTCTCAATACGGCGCTGACGCACAAATACATGGCAAAATCAGGATATGACAACCTAGCAACATGGTTCCACACTTATTCATAAGGTAGCAGATAACAAAATGTCAGGACAAGCCCCAAAACTTGCTGAGATCGTAACATCCTCGACGGTGCGCTCCCTGAGCCCGCGAGTGCGATGGTGCAACCGGGGACTCACGACAGCAAGTTGGGGGAATTGAGAGAGTGTTTATGCTTTAGAGGTTTAGAATTTAGGGTTTAGGTTTTAGGGTTTTAGGGCTCACTTCAAAAACTCTGCGGGACCAAAACCTCGGCATCTCCGAAACCTGCATCCCTGGTAGTAACTTTTATGCCTTGAACCTCGGCGCCGACCTCTTCACTCCTGCCGGTGAGTTCAATCGACCTGTCGACTGATCAGCGACTTGTCCGAACGCTTGATCGGGCTATCTACACTAGTTTTCGCAGCAACCACACTCCCTGACTCCCTGCGTCCGCCTTTTCCGAGGCATTAGCCGTTTACAGATTGACATGGGGGCAAGCACACACGACCCAGGCTGAAGGCAAAGCACCATCCACAATCCAAGAGAAACTTTAGGCACATCCCATGCGCAGCTTGCAGCCTGAATCCATCGGAATGCACATTCATGCGCTCTCGACTCTCGACTTTCGGGATGCCAGCCGGACTGCTTGGGAATTAGGTCCCTGTTAAGCTAGCGTCACAAGTAAGCATTGCAGAAGGGTGTGAGGACGTGATCAACGAGCTACCTCATGCCTCAAGCTTCCCGCCTCGGAATTAGTTTTCTATGATAGCATCTTCCCGTCGTCACTCCAGGATTAATGTGGTGTTGTTCTTCCGGCCTGATTTCATTTCGGGAAGCTGGGCTCCCGAAATCATGGAGTTTATCTTAGCCTGACTTATTGGATCTTGCCTCATGGCTGGCGTCGAGAACACAAGATCATCATCACTACCAGCAGAGCCATGATGCTTTGATGGCTCTCATCGGGGTAAGCAGATCACCAGCGATTGGCACAAAACATGTCCCATTCGCCCGGATGTCAGCTGCGCCACTCAAGGACGGCTCGCTTGCCAAAACCACCTAGACCGCACACCTTATGCAATCAAAACCAGAAACCACCGTGAAGCCGAATACCTTCAGCCCTCAACACGGAACCCTGAACCTTCGCCCCGAGACCTTGGCCTTAAACCCCAAACCTTGATGCCACAATACAACGCAAAGTAATATTACCTATAAACCTATATAACATAGTACAACAACACATATGACATAGTACAGCATCCTGATGCGACATAACAAGGTACGTTTGGACCGAAATTCGGACGGATGTGGCATGCATATGCTCAGGTGCCGCACGATGTCCCAGGAATCGTTGGGGACCGGCTTTTCACAGAACATGCACCGATACTTCATCCAATCTCGGACCATGTCGAATAAGGCCGTGATGAAGCAGGTCCATCTCGCCGAGATTGGCCGCCTAAATAAATCACTTCGTTGTCATGCAAGATATCTGCGAGTCGCAGTTCAGACGCGTAGAAGCGGTCCACCATCGCCAATTCGAACATATGTCATAATTCCAAATTTCTGAAATCATGCTGAATCGGAAACCCCTCAGCTCGGGTTCATGGCTCCGACTCGAGATACAGTGCACCTATTCGGCTCCAGATCTAAATCCAAAATCCTCCGAGGGCCGGCTGTATTAGGACTTATGTAAATACGGCCAGAAGCCCGAGTTGCAATAATGTGATCAACGTCTATATCTTGGGCCCTAGATGCAAGAAATCGTCCGAAGAGCTTTATAAAGTCAAATTTAATGTCCGAGTCCAATCAATACATGCGTATGCATTACACCCTACCATACGCTTAAAGCCCCGGAACCCTGGAAGTCCTGAAACCTATATATTATAAACCCCAAATTTAATCGAACCCTGCAAGCCAAATATACAGTTATTCCGAGTCGAACATATATATATATATATATATGCATGATACCCCATGTTAGAGCCCCGGAACCCTGGAAGCCCTGACACCTAATAATATACCCCAAAACCCTGCAAGCCAAATTAAATAATATTCCGAGTCGCACCCATGCATTACACCCTAAAGCCCCCGAACCCTGGAAGCCCTCAAGGGTTTGGGGTTTAGGGCAGTGTGCAAACCTCTACGTTTACCTGGAGAAATCATACCGCATGGGTTTTCCAATCAAGAACCCTGATATTGTAGGTCATTTGGGGTGCCCATAGGGCTCAGCTCTGGATCTTGCCCGACCTCACTCCTCCGTGAGAGGAAGTGCGCGGGTCCTGCTCCTTTAGGTTTGGGGCTTGGGGTTTGGGATTTTGGATTCGGGGCTTGGGGTTTCGGGTTTAGGGTTTGGGGCTTGGGTTTACGGTTTTAGGTTTAGGGTTTCGCCGCTCACACTCGGACAAGGGTTTGGGGTTTAGAGTTTGGGAGAGGCTTCTGCAAGCTTCGAGAAATGACATCTGAATTGAAGGTTCTTACAACTGGGACATGCTTGGCGAGGTTACTGGCACGACGAAAGCACTCTGGCCAATTAGGGGTTTAGGGTTTCGGGGCAGAGGCTTCTTGGAATCTCTCTCGCCTGCCTAATTCTTGCAGGCAGATGCCTTTTGACTGCCTTTTGACTAAGGTTTGCGCTCGGAGGTTGACAGCAAGAACTGTGAAGACGAAGGTGCAGGAGCGCTAAGTGTCGAGAACGAGAACCCTACATTTGTTCAGGAAACACTTTCGAGTTTGCGGGTTGAGTTCAACACTCAGAGAGTCACAGGGTTGTTAGCGACTTCGGCGGTGCGAGGCGAGCGTGCGCGGAAAAGGCGAAATCAAGGGTAAAGGCAGCAACGGCCTCAGCCTCGGTCCATACTTTCACACGCCACGCAACGATCACCATAAGGCACAGCTCCTGCACCGGCTCCCAGGGCGGTGTTGCCAGATCAGCCGCCTGGTGCTGTGGCATGGTCAGCATAAGGCTGAAGAGCTTGCGGGGATCCCACACTGAGACCGCAGAGCAAGCAGGGCTAGGCGTGCAGAGTGTGCGGAGCCGTGTCATATTGAGATCTCCTGGTTCCTACACCCAAAGCCCACGCAATCGCCAATGTTTGCGCCAAGCATGCCCTCCAGACAAGACTTGCCTTGCCATCCGGCCGAATTCCACCTGGCCAAGGCCAAGCTTATGGTACATGGCAACTATAGGAGTGAGTTCATCGTTTCAATGCGAGAAAATGCCTTCGAAAATCATCGGTGATGGGCCGCGGCTTTGGCATTTCGGCTCCACAAACTCCTTTGGGACGGTGTCTCACAGCTCCGGACTGGAACAGTACCCCGTAAACTTTAAAAACTTACGAACCCTAAAACCCTTCTACACCCTACACTCTGAACCTCAAGCCCTAGACCCCCAAGACCCACATCAAGCCTGGATAGTCCCACCAGTCATCTGTGTCCGTTGCAGTCAGCCTCAAGGCACACCGACTCTTGCCGTGCTCGTTCCAACTATGGCCCCTCTGCGACGACTACGACAAGAGCTACGCCAAGCTAGTCTACAACAATCGTCTTCAGCCCCGAAAAGACAATGGCAGTGATGAGTATATGACAAGACCGGAGACTTAGACTTGCACTGTCATTGTCACATGTATAGCTATCAACTCACCTCTTTATAGTCTGCTACTCATCACATCATCTGAAACCTGACTCTGTCAAAAGCAGCCTGATATCTGGGGCCTAGTGCTTTAGCGCCGCCATCAGGCTAAATTGTCCCTGAAAATGCCTGAAGGCCAGGAGGATCGCAAGATTTCTCCACTCGTAACAACGGGAAGGCTTTCAATGCAAGGCGGCGTGTAATGCCGCGGAAAGCGAACTCGTCGGCCGTGGAATGGGTGTGCGCGGAAGACCAGGTGAAGGAAGCCTTAGGCTCAATGGGGGGGTTCCGAAAATAGGGGACCCCAATATAGTAACCTGGATCCGTACTATAAGGATCCTTATTATAAGGACCCTAATCAATATAGTACCCTAAATGGTAGGATCATTATTATAATGACCCCAACATAAGGCAACCCGAACTTTCGGAAACTCCCACGTTCAAGGACTCATGGACTCTCCCTGCAGCAAACGCACCCGCCACCCGTTTGCTACCATGCAAGGTACCCGTAAAGCCTGCAAGTGAGTCTCTTCTGGACTACTTGAATGTCTCGCGAGTGGGACAGACATAGGTACTTACTAGGCAGGTATCTACGTGAATCTGTAGCTAAAGTCACAGTACGATCTGGTGAGCTAGCGACTAGTGAGCTCGGTTGGGGTTCACCTTCCGCAAATCCAGGGTAACGTCTGTGAAATGGTCGTGATCATCAGCTTCGTCTATAACCCTATAACCATTCAAGGCACCGTGCTCCAAGCGCATCTGATCCTCGCGGAACTCGAAGATTCCCTGCTCGGGGGCTAGCTCATCGATGGAATTTCTCCCCAGTCGTTGCTATTTTGACGCCAAGGTCACGTATGATATAGCCTCAAGAAACCGCGCCTCCTGAGAAGGGAACTCGAAACGCTTCGCCCACGCTGCCGCCGCGATGCCGCAGGCGGCGCGACGGGCGAGCCGCACCTGCTATGACAGCCACAGCCCCAGATGTTTCGTTGTTGGCGCACTAACGGTTCAGGGTTCACGTTCAAGCTTGGAGCACCACCCAGCATGATCCCTAGCATGAGTATCGCCGCAGCCTGGCATCCATTGAAGAGGAGCTCCACGTTGACATCCTCATGCTCCACACCGGGGCACTGGATCTTGATGAGCCGAACTGAATGGCCATTGACCTGCCATCGTTCTACGTTTTAAATTTAGATATACCTTTTGGGTCCTTTCCTGGTGATCTTCAGCATCACGCAGACTTCCTCCTGTTATAAAGGGACATCGACTTCATGTTGACATTGTTCAGGCTTCTACGAGTCTTCTACATTGCCTTCCCGAATCCCATCGGCAGAAGCCGAAGCCTCCGTGTCCAGGACGTGATATCCGAAGTCCTGGCCCAAACCTGGCAGGGTATTTTCGGATCGCATGAAAGAAGTTTCCAGTCCGACCTTCACTCGCCGCAAAGCAGGTCTTGTGGCGTTAGAAAGCTCAAGATTCTGCTGGCATTCTATCAGTAGCAAGAGGGTAAATGAAGAACAAGCACGAGGCTGCCTGCCTTGTCCAGGGTCTTCAGGACTTGTGGCGGCTGCAGATGGGGCCTTTGGAACTACCTGGTGAATACTTGGCCGACGGCCGACGCTGGGTCTGGCTTCATATTGATATTAAGCAATGCCTGACATCATCCGTCGTTGGGAGATTGGGGGCAGCAACCCACCCAAAGGAAAAGCTTGCATCACGCATTTTGTAACGAGCCAATGGACCGGCACACTTAGTATAGCCTCCACTTACGATCTTCGACGGTTCAACTTGGCCTCTTTCCTCTGCCCGGAACCGCGCTCTTTCCTTGGCGGAGCGGAACAGTATTCTGTTTGGTGTCTGCTTCGGGTGCAAGGTATCCCGAAAGAGATTACATCACGGTTAACATGCCGTTTATAGTTTCGATCTTCATAACTGCAGTAGTGCAATTTGCTTCGAGACAATTCATTGAGCTGCATGACTGTACCGAGAGGCCTCAAAAAACGGAAGTGAGAAGAGCGTCGGGTGCTGGACCCTGTGCAACCCTTGACAAAGGGACCTTACTCCTTCGATCACGGCTTCATCAGCACTCAACGGTAAATCTGGCTCCTAGTCCTAGCGTCTGCAGCTGGAGGTTGAGGTGGATGTTCAAAAGGCCCAGCACCAGCAAACCTTCAGGTTGACAGGAAAGCTGGCAGCAAGCTTACTTCGCACCAGGAGAACTGTCAGACAGTCGAGTCGGACACAAGAAAGCGAGCTGTTCCAGTAAGTGCAGAGATCTTAAAGCCGACAGACGAGACCGCATGGCCCCTCCATCCTGCAGCCCACATCTCCGCAACCTGACTCCCCTCACGCAGCCTGTGAGGAGGTACAAGGAGAGGGTCTGGTCGACGCCCCAGGTCCGAGTCCAAGCCTCAAACTCTTTCTGGGCTTCTGTGCTTTTCTGCATACTGTGTCTGCTCGGACTTGGAGTCATCTGGGCCCAGTGTGGAGAAGGAGGGAAGGGCTGAGGGATAACGACAGGCTGGCCCTCTTCCCCACGAAAGCTGAGGCTTCTTGCGGTATCTACCTGTCCTTCCATCCATCGAGTCATCTATCCAGGGGATGACGGAAGGCTCACTGGTAGACCTTGCAACATCTTCGGCATCCCAAGCCTCGCCACCTTACAAAACCCCCAACCTTTATCTAAGACCCTAGAACCCTGATGAAGAAGGGGATCCCTTGTATCTCAGGCCCTTAAGCCTCAAGAAGGACCTTTGCCGTTCAGGAAGCTCCAAGCAGTCCGAGATCTGATGGCTGGTGCCACTGCGGCGGAGCCGCGGGGCATCCTGCCTTGCGCATGTGTCTGCTTCGCGTATGTATGCGAAGTATAAAGAATCTGGCCAGGTAGGGAGGGTAGGTGGGTAGGTAGGTAAGTAGACGGATAGGTAGGTAGGTAGGTAGGTTAGACAAGGACGTTGGCTGCCTCTATGATGTACAAACAAAGAGTCGCACAGCGATGAAGCCACATGCAGGTTGGATATGTAGCAAAAACAGACGGGGATCTACTGTGGTTTCAACACTTACAGAGTTATCAATAGTACTTCATAGACCCAGTGCCTCAGCCTCTCGTCGGAACATTTCGAGCTTTGCATCTCGCTCCTCCACCTCACAGGCTTGATTGGCGTCATCGGGCTCGGGGCCCGAGCGGGGCTTAAGGGTTCTATTCTGGCCTCCCACCTAGGTTTCAGGGGACTTTCTGTCGAGCCATGAGCCCGTCGTCACCAATCCTATCACGAGCTCCGTGTGATTTTGTGATTGCAAAGATCTTGGAAGGTGCTCGAGATATGGAACGCAGGCTACGACGACCTGGCTTTGTGAGCTTTGCTAGACATCCACCGACATACCACGAATCTCAGGGAAACTAGTCCCACTCGCGGCTCCGCCATGGAGCCTTCGAAAGCAGCATGGACTTGCCTTAGGAACAACGAGGCTTCCAGCTAAAATGGAGCATTTTGCAGGGGCGACGAGTAATGTAGGGGCAGTATTACAAAAAGAATAGGGTTTGGGATGTGGGCATATTTTTCTGTATTTATTGTAGGGAACCTATTATCAGGCCCCTGCAGCTCCCAACTACATCGAGGAGGGAACAGTAAGACCTGCGAGGAAATCCGGTCTTCTGATTGGGGACATTTGGGGAGCTGCATGAGACTGCTTCTGGGAAGGAGCTCTGGCACTCAGAGAGGCGCGGAAGGGTGCTAGAGCTGCACAAATCGTAAGACATGCTTATTAAGCCCCTGACGGTTCCGCGCATGAAACTTTCCCGCCATGCATGAAATACATATAAACCCAGATGCTGACATCGGCAAACTCTTGCAGGTTTTAGTGTCCTGACAATCCTGGGATAAGAATCATTTCAAGCATGTCGTGGCCCCATCCCCACATTGTTGAAATTCCAGAACCCAAACGAAAGAATCGTGGCTGCATCCACAGTGCTTCGCCGCTCTGCAGCAAGCTCCGCCCGAAGCAAGCCAGACTCGTCGATATCTTGCCTTGCTTCAGGTGTCGGTCTGGTATTTTCCGCAGGCCCTCTCCCTTCCGATTTTTATGAATTTCGCTCTCATCGCTTCCCAACCTCAACTTCTCTCTGTAAACCCTGAAAATCCCTTTTGCCCTAAACCCCACTGTGAACCCTAAACTGGCCTAATCAGCCACCAGGACTGGCCCTCGGAGCCCAGCATCGGCGACGCCCCGAAGCTCACGCCCCCGCCATCCTGGCAACAGGGGCCACTCAGCGAGTCAGATCTAAGAGTATCAGAAAGCAGGGACCCCTGCGCTTAAATGGGGCTCCCAACAAGTACCCCGAGATTTGTGAAGCTCCCATCTTACAGCTCATGCTTGCAGCGAAGATCCTTCTCCCCCGTGGTGGTGGGAGGGGTGGCCTCATCCACTGCCCAGATTCTCCGGCCCGACTTGGCGTTGCTGATCACGAAGGCCCCGTCGCCCTGCATCATCAGATGCCACTTCTGGTCCTCGAAAGGCGAATTGTCAGATGGGCATGGATTGGACTCATCTTCGTGCCAACCTTATGTCCAAGGCTAAAAGGAGGGACCCTTAATCAGCACCCCTAGGTGTAGACCCTTAATATAGCCATGATATACCCATTATAAATCCCATTATAGAGTTGGGGTCCCCATCAAGGGTCCCTCCGTCTCCCCTTTGATTATTCCCTCTATCTAGCCACCAACCCTGCGGCAAGATCTCGCGAGACCAGGGCTCTTCTCTTAGGCCCCAAACCGCGCCATCCGAGTGCCGGATTCCCGCCCCAGATTCGAAAAACCCATTGCAAACCTTCTCTACTATGCAATATGGACTCCGTGGCCATGGCCTGTTCAGAAATGGCAGTTCCAACACCTCTGGGCTCTAGACATGTTCACGAATGCGCGCGAATCTCCATAGAGCAACCCAGTGTTTTCGTCACTGGCTCCGCAGATCTCATATCTGAAGCAATCAATTCTGCTTCCAGCCGCATGCTAAGGGCTCCTCAACTGACCGGCTGTTGCTGGAAGACTTGTGTTTGCGGTTCACATCACCTCTCTCGCCGCCACCTGTGCCTGCAGCTGTGACACGAACATGTTTCGCCGTGCCGATAGTATATCAAGTACTGAACCAATGCCATCTGGTCCTTAAAAATCACAAACTCCATGTGGTCCACCCTCCCGCCATGCTCCGTAGTCTGCACTGTGACAGAGTCGTAAGGCTCACCGTCCTCGCGCTCTGGTGCTCTGGATCTTCCACAGAGCTTCTCTTGCGTAGAAAGCATGCTATGTCCGAGCAGCACACGTGCCACCACAATGCACCGCTCCCCATGTGGATGTGAACAAGATTTAAAATCTGCATGGTCTGCACATGAGGCGCATGTGGTGTACAAGTCGGACTTCGATGCGTTCTGGGCAAAGTAGGTCCCCTTGCCGAACATCGCTCCGACAGCTTCGCCCCCTCGCTGGGGATCAAAACCTCTCCTTGCTATCGGTTCGCACTTGGGAACAGGGCAACCATGGAACAACAGGTGTTCGCCCGGCTCCACACAACTTAACGCTTCGATGTTTGGTATGCCAGGACATCCACTGGGATCTCTCTGCAGGACCTGCTGCCGCGCAGCTTCATACAATCCCTGCCTGGCTGGATTCTGGACTTCGACTATCCGAGTAACTGTAACATTGGGTGGAGAACACCATTGCTGCGACCCTTGAGCAAGGCGATGGCTGACCATAGAGCTTTGAAAAATGTGCTCCAGAGCCGCATATTTGACCCGATCCCCGATCCAATCACTATCCTCCGCCTCAGGCGTCAGCTCTCGCAAGCTCACGGCCGACGTCGAACCATCTGGTCGTCGTGTAATGGCTTGGCGCCCCATCTGTAACATCATCTTCCGTCGCATGTCCTGCAGAGCTGCTTCCGCCAACTAGTCTACTTTCTCCCATGCTTGGCTGCAGAAGAAGTGCAACAATCTAGTTTCACTTTATCTTGGATGAGGGTTCGGAGTGGTAAGCTTCGACAAGCCCGCCTTGACTTGCTGCAGCTCTGAAGCCGCAGCGAGGTGCCGAGCATGCTCATCTTCCAATCTGCTAGTCAAGCGGCAAATCTCATCCTGCAGGGCTTTGACTTCCCCCTGGTGGGACCTGCTCTGGTCGTCCATGTCCCTCTGTAGAGCGTGTGCTACTTCGAGAGCTTGATCGCGCGCATGTCTAGCTGCTGCCTGCTGCCATCTTTTTTTCGAAAACATCGCGCCGCCTCTGATCCTGAGCCAACTGCACCTCCAGACGCTCCTTCAATTCGCTCAAGGACTTTATCTCTTCCCAGTGAGAGTCGTTCTGCGGGACGTCCGGCTGCGGATGTGCAGCATGCCCACCTGCGACTTCTGTTCTTCGAATTGTCCTGGCCTTGCCTGTCTGCCGATTCGTTTGAAGCATCTCTGTGAAGTTGATGATGTACTCGTACTGGTGGATGTGTACAGTGCATGAAGACTCCAAAGCTTGGAACGCCTCCTCCAGGCAGCGATTGGCGTCTGCCGGATATTGCATCCACATTTCTGGTGGCTGGACCTGGAACTCCCAGCGTGGGACGTCGGGAGCAACCCTCGGTGTCGAAACCAGCATGGCTCGGCAAAACTGAAGTACGAAGAACGGAGCGCTCGGAAAAAAACGGCTCGTTCCAATCTGGTCAACTCGTTCGGACGTGACTGGCTTCCGAATATGCATCCATGAACTGTCTTTCTGCACTAAGGTTAGCCAGACTGCGAGAAGCATTCTTCAGGAGGAAGGATCACGAAGGGATGCCATCTGTTGTGTCCAACTCGAGACTTATTGCTACTTTCCAGCCTTCAAAAGAACGAAACTCCCACCCGAAAAGGAGCCACAATGCTTCTCCTAAATCCTAAAACAAAGGAATAGGGTCCTGGTAGACGGGACCATCAGCCACTGCGAAGAAGCCTTGTGCACCTTCGAAACCGCTCTGTGCCAGAATCCGGCTGCCAGAAACCTTGGCTTCAATGCAATCGGACTATGGTCTTCTATAAAGATAACTGACTTATATATGTTGGGCAGGGAGCATCTGGAAAGGAAGCCCACTCTCTGCCTATCTTTTGCCACCCGCCTAGCTGAACAATGTCTCCGCCTATTCTCAACAGGGGGTTGAGGGGTTAGGGTTTCAGGCCGTTTCTGCATAGCCTGCCTGCACGCCTTCAACTCCCAGCATGGAAAGCCCAAACTGTGAGAGTTTGACTTGGGAGCTTCGCTCAAAAGGACGCACAATCCGCACGACATAGTAGCAGTAGCGTAGTACTCAGACCATGCATCCAAGGATAGCCGACGGAAGCTCAGTGCATGGGTGGCGTGTCCGGCGGCAGACATCCCCCGAAAAGACCCGAAACGAAGAAACGCCCGCCCAGCTGCGACGTTGCTCAAGCTAAAGCTGTTGTTCCCCTCGTCATGGATTCTCCACATGTGCTCCTCGCAGTCTCTCCCCAAAGCCATCTTAACCGACACCCAGAGGCTCGATCTCAGCAGCTCTACATGCTGGATGCTACAAGCAACCTAGTTCACGGAATCACGAACTTCAGGTAAAGGTATCACGCTGGCACTTTCAGCAGAAGCGAGACCTTCTCTTCAAGCCTTCTGGCTCCTTGAGCTAGATACGGCCCATCAGAAAAAATCGAGTCGAGCCCTACACTGCAGTCCTCGGTGATGGCCCCATAGGCCGTTGCGAAGAATCCGAGCCCGCTGTTCCCCAGCCTCCTGAGAGCCCATGGCGAAGAAGCTTCAGCGCAGTAGCCCTGGTCCGACTTACTTGAAACATTGAGATCTGAACCCTGAAGACTCTAGACGCTCTATGAAGATGCGACGCCCCGTGGGCCAGCCAAGAGAGGGGGCACAGGCGCAGGGCTTGCACGATGCATGAGGTTGTTGGAGCGTTTCAGTCATGCTGGGCATTTCGACTTCTTGCACATCTGCTGTGGCCCTGTCAAGGCTGCCATTAGCAATAGCTGTCACGGTAATCGCCAACAGACACTCTGTGTCCTGGCCCTCTAACTCCACGGCTCAAGGAACTGAAACTCCCACAGTCGCAGGCATGGCTCCGACCGCTTCCCGCGCTCTTGATGACGTACTTGCCATTAAAGTCCTTGCAACTCCATAGCGATCCAGTGCAAACAGAAGCCGTAACTACCATGGACTCTGAGCTCTGAAGCAACTCCTAACATCCCTGAACCCTGAACCCTTACACAAATGACACCGTCAGCCCTCAAACCTGGCAAAACGAAACTGACGCCCGACACCCCCAGTGCCAAACCCCCAACAGAACCTGTAGTCCCCTGTCGCCGTCAGATCGCTTCAGACTACAGTGACTAGAGTGTTGTATAATATCGATGACCTAGTATAATATGATATACTAGAACATGCTGCAATCTAATGCAACATGGTACCGTAGCATACCACAGAGGGAAAAACACAATAGACTGTAGCAGAAGAGAAGAAAATGGAAAGCACTTCAAGACGGCACGGTACAGTCAGATACCCTAAAACATATTGCAGCAAGGCTTAAAGTTGGGACTCTTGGGTTGTATAGGACTCTTGGGTTAAAGCTCTAAGATAATCCGGTCTCTGCTAGCCCGGATCGCTAAACTTTCGACTCGCACGACGTGGCCAACTAAGAAAAACTGCTGAAGTCGAGTTTCGATGCTCACGCTCGCACAAGACAGGCAAGGCTCAGGTGGCCCTAGTATATAAGCTTGGGCGCGGGATCAGTCCTCTGATATGCACTGAACTGCAAACCGAAAACCTGAAGGGGTGAGTTTGAGGGGGTGCCGACGTGCTGAGAACGAATTCGGATTCCTTTGTAGTTTGGGGAGAGTTTTCTTTTTCGGCGCAGGTACATGTTGCTTCTCGGCATTAAGATTTGGGACCATGGTTTCAGACTTCCCAAACCGGAAACCCTTGAAACCCAGAAATAGCCTTGTCATCAAGCACGTATGCCCACACTCCTGAAGCCTTCTCCAACCAAGGCTCTCCCCAACAGCCTGAAACGCCCAACTACAGCGGCCGATATATTATAGAACACAGCTATGCTTATATGATCCCGGTTCGGCCGGCCCCCCCCCTCCCCCCCCCCAATGGTTCCTCCTCCCTGCAATGTGTTGTGGTGTGGTTGTGGGTTGCTTGCCTCTGCCTGTGGTGTGGTGTGGTGTGGTTCGGGAGTGGGTCTGCTTAGGCTGGTTACCCCACTCCCCCCTGTGGTGTGGTGTGGTTAGGCTGGTTGCCCCACTCCCCCCTTGTGTGTGGTTTGTGGTGTGGTGTGGTTTGGGTTTCCTGCGTGGGTCTGCTGTGGTGTGGCGTGGTTGTGGGTTGCTTCCCCCTGCCTGTGGTGTGGTGTGGTGTGGTTCGGGAGTGGGTCTGCTTAGGCTGGTTACCCCACTCCCCTGCGGGGTCTGCTGTGCTGTGGTGTGGTTGTGGGTTGTTCCCCCACCCTGTGGTGTGGTGTCGTGTGTGTGGTTCGGGAGTGGGTCTGCTTAGGCTGGCGACCCCACCCCCCTGTGGTGTGGTGTGGTTTGGGTTTCCTGTGGGTCTGCTTGGCGTGTGAGCCCTCGTGTGGAAAAAGCTTGCACAGTCACACACAGATTCGGCTTGGGGAGCGTGGGGGGGGGGGGGGGTGATACTATTGGGGGGGGGGGGGGGGGGGTGTCGGTGAACCGAGAACTGGGATCATATATAGGGACAAGAAGGAAATACTATTGCTAATTTTCCGACCTCTACATTACACCCTTGAAGCTCTGTAAGCTGGAGGTCCGCTGGAGCCGTCGCGAAGAGCATCGAAAGGAGGAGAGCTTTGAGCGTGCCAGGCGCACCCAGAGTCATGGCTGCAACGGATGCTACATGGGGTTTGGCTTTCGGACTTCGCGGGCTCGGTTCAGGGATGTGGAGGCAAGCGTCTGCAGTGTTGTTTGGGGCTTTGGTTTTAGGCGGGGGAAGGAGGGGTGGGGAGGTTGCTCAACATGGAGATTGGCATTTGGAGCCCGAAGCGAAGGCTTGCAGAGGTATTCCTGCGTCTCAGGCACAGTGGACTGCCACTAGCGGTTAAGTTTGTATATACCTTTCTGACCCTGTGCGAAATCTAAGCTAGAGGGCATAGCCAAGTACAAATATGTCGGTACGACTTTGAGATTCATGAAGTCATCGCCTAAGACAAACTTTTTAGGCAGAGATGCATAGCTTCTACGACACTCAAACATTGATCTACCAACGCAGACTTGCAAATCTTGGTTGCATCCTCCTTCTGTCGCTGTCACTCTCTCTCACTCTGCTTCCCTCTTTCTCTCTTGCGCACGGTGACTCTGCAACTGATGTTTCCAGCTGCATCTAGTCCTACCCATTCCCTCAGTCATAGGCCCCATGTCCTACTAGCAGCTTCAAGACCCCGAGAGGACTCGTTACAACAATGATGGCGCACGCTTCGACAGAGCACGAATGTTGATCAGAACCTCTACCTCCGCTAGAAGCCGGTCAGTCAAAAGAACCGTGATGACTGTGTCTCTATCTCTCTCTCTCTCTCTTTCTCTCTCTCTCTCTCTCTCTCTCTCTCTCCATCTATGAACCTATGACAATCTATGGCCACCAGACCAAGTAGAGTCTGATCAAGATCATGCCATCGAACTGGCTCGTCGGCTCTCTGGGATTCCGGGCGGTACGGCCTCCGCCACCGGCGGAGCGCCGCCGCCGACGGGGCGAAGGTGTTCGAGGCGCTTCTCCTGCGGTTTCCGGGCTTTTGGCTCAGGGTGTTTCGACTCACACACTCGCACACGGCTTGCATGGCTTCACGCGATAAGTCTTTATAGGGGGGGTGACAGCGGTGACAGCTAAGACCTCGTCCGCCAGACACGGCTGTTTTTTTCACGGTGGCTTCAAGGGGTGCATGTGCTGTCCCCAAGCTGTCCGCAGATAAATGCGGAGCTGTGCAAGGGATTGTCAAACAGAAATCTAGTACGGTACCAAGAGGAGTTTGTCGTTGCAAGCACGTTTCTGCACCACTCTCCTAGCAAGCTCTGCACAGAAGTTCGGGTCGGGATGCTGATGCTTCACAAGCAGCAGTTCAGTTTTCGAAATCACCTCAAACATCGACGATCCGCGGAAGAAAAGTATGAGCAGCTCCGGGAATGCATGACTCTCGATTCAATAAAAGCCCGCTAGATTCCGCTTTTTAGATTTGAGCCTTCCGATCCCGTGACAAGGAATGCTTCCCAACGTCTTGGAGTTAACAAAGTCCCGTTTTGCCATTCCGATTCTCCGACCAAGCTAGTACATATGGGAGTTTCCGAAACTAAGGGACCCTATTATAGCACCCTGAACAGTAGGATCCTTGTTAAACAGGACCCCAAAATTAGGGAACCCTAATTTTCGGAAACTCCCATATGGGTAGCGAGCAAGTCGGGCTATGGGAGAGAAACCTGCGCCCTGGGATGATGCCCAGAAAGCCCCCCTCCTTGTCTCGCACGTCACCGTCTTCCCAGTCCACCACATAGACTGTGAGGCCCCTGGAAGGATGCTACTCATTGGATGCACCGAAGCTTAGGGATACTGTGGCCGAAATGTAGATGCATCCAGCCACTTCGATTTCTGTCGCCCGGAAAGCCGTCGCTGCGAAGCCCTATCACGACATGTACTCATGTCAAGTGATGTGTGACGTGACGGTCCAACTCTGCCCTAAACCGATAAACTTTAACATGTGCAGCCACAAACCTTAGACAGCAAACCCTCAGACCACTGAGACCTGATTCCCTGCTTCTTAGGCTGGCGCCCATCATCCTGGAGAGCACGCGTTGGCATTGGAGGCTCCGGGAGTTGGGTCCCAGGGGGTGGAGGGGGGTCTAAAGGGATTTGTGGCACGCATCTTCGGCTGGAAAGGATAGGCAAAAGCAAAGGAATGATTTTGTTACCCTAAAACCCTTTTGAACCCAGACTCTGCCGATCAGCTGGGAAGCACTGCAAGACTAAAACCCTAAACCCTGAACGACTCCAAGCCGTAACCGCCCGACAGGTCCTTGATCTCTGCCACTTTCGCGGCATAGTACATGCCCCCAAAGTACTGGGCCTGGGCGTATCCCGACAAAGAGAAGCTTGGAGTTGGGCGCTCCTGACTCCTCACATCCTGCGAGATGCTAAGAAGATATCATCCGCAATCTACAATACAACATAGCATAAGATAACATGATATCTAATAACAAGAATGTTCATAACAATCATGTCTATATAGTATTCAGAATAACAAGAGGAATATCACAATGCCATGATCTCTCAGGTCGCAGCCTCGATTGAATCGCCCACCTGGATCCAAGCAGACAGGTGAGGGCAGCTCGATGAACTCTGTTGCGAAACCCCCGGTGACGTAATGCCCTGGGTGGCTCTGGTAATATAGGGGCCTTAAAAATTAGAATGGGGTTTTGGGGCCCATTATACTATAATTATGATAAGGAACCCCAAAATAGTATTGGTAATTACTTAGGCCCCCTATATTACGCCATAGCAGCTGAAGTTGCAAGGAGCTGCCCATCTCAAAGCTTCTGATCTAGCACAAGAAGTACGTAATATCACAGTAGAGTGCCAAGCCAAAACGCAGATGCTGCGTCAAAGTCAGATGTTCGTCTTAGTGCCTGATCTATGCCTGACAAACTCATTGTGGAATCCCAATCTATGCCCGGGTGACACACTGATGTGCGTTAGTCAAAGCGGCTTCGCTGTCGAGCGAACGTCGATACCATAGGCTGATTCCCCTCCACTGTCATGGCAATCACTAGGAGTTAAAGTTCGATTGAAATCCCGGCCTGAGGCCAAGTGCGCTTCGTCTCTCGAGGTACCGCACTTGGATTCTTGCCTTGGGTTGGGGGCGACGGAGCCCAAGGCCCAGTAAGTAGACCGAGTTAGACGCGACATGTCGATGATGAGTGTGGAAGGTTCACACCCAATAAACCTGTATACTTAGAGTCAGGTTTTGGGGGGGTGTATCACAGCATCTATGCTCATGCGGGGACTATGAGCAAACACTATTAACACTATTACGAGTTGTTTAACCCATGAAATGCCCGAAACCCAACAGGCGACTCTTGCAGAAAAGTGGCGGTCGAGCAGCACCTGCCGCGGAGCTTATGGTGATTTCTGTTCTGTCCAGGCTTGGCAGGCTGGGGCATATACAGAGTATAGGATCGCCAACAGATTAAGGTTTTAGCAGGTATGTTGTGGTATGAATGTGGCTATGAAGCCTCAGGCATACAATGGAAAGTTACTCACGTCCCTATCTCAGACATTATGGTATCGAACCTTAAGACCTTAGCTCTGACTGCCATGCCGACTCTGAGCCGCTTTTGAAACCGGAGCCCGCTCCTTCCAACTGTCGCCCGTGCGCTCGAGCACGGTGCCCCAGACCCTCTGGTTGCAACCTTGCTTGGAGGTTCATGGGTGGTTATAAGGGTCCCTTTAAAGGGATCTATAGGGATTCTTCCAGGGTATGGGGTTCACGGCCTACCTGGAGGTTCATGGGTAGTTATAAGTGGGGTTATAGGTAGGGTAACTATGCTGATAACCCATATAAGGGGACTTATAACCCCACTTATAACTACCACCGAACCTCCAAGTGGGCAGCGACCAGTGACAGCAAGAGCAACAGCCAGCAGAAGTCGTAACCATAGCGACTGCAGGGGCCTTAATAATTACCTTTTCTATTTTGGTGGTTCCTATTCTACTTGTAGATGTAGGATAACATACCCAAAAATCCCCTGGACATGTGCATGAAGACTCCTGGCCTTCGCAGCGTCCCTGCTGCAAGACGACAAGGAGACAGGCATGTGCCAAAGAAGGAACAGAAGATATCAGAAGAAGCAGTCTCTGCCAGACCCTGCTACGTACCGCAATGTCACTGGCAGGGAAGACACCGGAAGCACGAGTAGCTACATTCTAGAAGGCCCTGGCAAGTGTGGAGCTCCACGCGAGCACCTGCGGGCAGGAGAAGGTGAATGGGTGCCTAGTGATTAGAAGAGGTTCTGGAGAAGAGTATACTCACACACATGTACATCTATATATATATATATATATATACCTCTACATATACATATAGTTATTGTAAAACTAGACAAGGGTCGTAGGGAAGGCTATATATATATATATATATGCTTACTGTAGCTAGCTCGAACTTGACATGATTCTTTTTGGGAGGCTGAATACTGTAGTTATTTATGGGGCCTTTTCAAAGGGATAATGTTCCGACCCCTACAGAGCATTCTTTTTCTGCACGGGCAGAGCTCTTTGAGGCTTCTAGGACCAAACCTGGGAACCGATCCCAAGCTGCTCCATCTTGGGAGGGCTTCCAGGCAGGGGGTTCAACGGAAGTGGGCGGAATTGACGGAGACTCCCGCAACACCAACGTGAGCATCCTCGTCCTCGTCCTCATCCTCATAATCTTCAATGGGACCAGTATAACAACACCGTAACAACATCCATATCATCTTCGTCATGGTTGGTACCGCCTCATCACCGCAATGCCCGCTATTGCTGGCATCTTCATGGCCACGAACTACATGGGTGCTCGTGGTACATGTGCCTTCTTCGGGTCATTCACCCATCGCATACAACAAGCACAACATAGGGGCCTCAATAGTTAGAATAGGGTTTCGGTGCATTATATCAGTATATAGTATGTCTGTACCAATATGGAACCCTAAGAACTAAGATAGTAAGAAAAGGTATACTATATACATGATAAAGAACCCCAAAATAGTATTGGTAATTTTTCAGGATCCTGCATTCTTTTTGTCACTGGACTCAAGTCTAGCCAGTCTACGACCCACAATCATCAGGACCCTTTTTTGCAT